TAAGTGTATCTGAGTATGTATGTATGTATGTGTGCATGCATATGTATATGTATGTATATATTTGTATGTATGTATGTATGTATGTATGTGTAATATATGTGTGAATGCATAATGTATGCATGTAAAATGTATTTATGTATGTATGTATATAGGTATATCTCTATATATAAAACTGTTTGTCCTGACTGACTGACTGACTGACTGATTGGTGATCAACGCACAGCCCAAACCGGAAGAGGAAGCTGAAATTTTCGCTGTAGTTACCTTATGTGATGTAGGTGCACGTTAAGACGGGGTTTCGGGAAATTCCACTCGCAAGTGTGGAAAAATCGCGAAAAACGTTTGTATGTAACTTTTTTGTTTACCATCCGATCGGCCCCAAAATTATTTTCAAAAATCTTTGTTCAAATTCATTTGAGGGGTGTTTCGCACTTTTCGGAAAACCCATTCCTCCTTGGTGGAAGAGGTCAAAGGTCAAAGATTTGGTGGGTGACGTTTCGCGCTCAAATTCATTTCCAGAGATCTATAAGAAAAATCATTTGAGACGTGTTTCACACTTTTCGCAGAATTCATTCGGGTGGAATGCAACTCAAAGATTTTTTGTGCGAAGTTTTAAATTGTGTCCGAATTGCTTCAAACCTATTTTCAAAGCTCTACATAAGAATGTAATGAATGCGTCTTTCAGCGATTTGGGAAATTCCACTCGCAACAGTGGTAAATTGGCGGAAAACGTTTGTATGAAAGTTATATGTTTACCGTCCGATCAGTTTCAAAATCATTTCAAATTTTTTTGAGAACATTGATTTTATAACATACGTGCCACGGCCAAGGCCGGGTTATACCCGCTAGTATCCTATATAGACATAGGTCAAAACTTCCCACACTCCTAACTCGGTCAAATCTCATCCGATTTTCATCAGGCTTGGCTCTTTCTTCATGGTTTGGCCCCTAAATCAATTTGGCATCAAAATCTGACAACACGATTCTGGGTCAAAATTCATGTCAAAATGTTAGCCTCAAATATCCCATATGGTCATAGATCAAAACTTCCCACACCCGTAACTCGGTCAAATCTCATCCGATTTTCACCAGGTTTTGCTCTTTCTTCATGGTTTGGCCCCTTAATCAATTTGGCATCAAAATCTGACAACACGATTCTGGGTCAAAATTCATGTCAAAATGTTACCCCTTAAATATCCTATATAGACAAAGGTCAAAACTTCCCACACTCGTAACTCGGTCAAATCTCATCCGATTTTCATCAGGCTTGGCTCTTTCTTCATGGTTTGGCCCCTAAATCAATTTGGCATCAAAATCTGGCAACACGATTCTGGGTCAATATTCATGTCAAAATGTTACCCCTTAACTATCCTACATAGACATTTAACATTTGGTCCTATATTTTATGGACTTTAAACTAGAAAATATCCGCTATTGTAATATTTTATTATAAACACGGAAATACACTCTGAGTGCAAGCAGGGGAGAGAACAACTTTTGCAAAGGGCGGAATATGGGTGAAAAACTTTAAAATTGAAATCTATAGACCTTTATAATCAAACTATATTTTATGCATGTATATTAGGTACGTTGTGTACATATTTATGTGTGTGTGTGTATAAAACTTCTAATACATGAATTTAGGTCCCCTTCCCGAACGTAGAACATATTGTTGGATAAACTAACCTTTAAACTGTCAAAAGTTGTCTATCTAATGGGAGCTGTTCTTTAGTAAAGTAAATTTACTGCCAAAAAAGTTGAAGACCATGTTACTGGCAAAAAAAAAAAGAAGAGCGTCAAGGCCTTGAAGCACATTAAAGACTGTATTTTTAGCAGGCCTTGCGAATGGACTGCCAAGCCTCTGTACAATCAATAACCCGAAATGTCCGAAATGTCCGAAATGTGCGAAATGTTCGAAATGTCCTGTGTTTCTGCTTGTGTTTACTGACACTTGCTGTCCAATTTGATGAAATATTCTGTCTGGCTTAAGGAAATGTACAATCAATAACCCGAAATGTCCAAAATGTCCGAAATGTTCGAAATGTTGGAAATGTCCTGTGTTCCTGCTTGTGTTTACTGACACTTGCTGTCCAATTTGATGAAATATCCTGTCTGGCTTAAGGAAATGACGTACAATGGCCAACCGAATCCTACAAGTTGTACTTTAAATACATAATTTATCAAAATCGCAATCCGGAAAAAAAAGGCACACAGAACCAGGTCCCAGAGGGGAGGGGAGGGGAGGAGGGGGCAGCAGAGGCTATTCGTGGCCTGACGCATTATTTACGTGGCAAGGAAACGAGAACTAATAAAATGAAATGGCAACTGGGGACAAGGACAATGAGACGCCGCCGTCGCCGTCGCCCTATTATGTTGACATAGCATTCCAGGCTGGCGTTTGTATAATTGATTAGGTTTGGCTTTACTTATCGCTGTCCCCAGACCACAGACCCGAGTCCGCAGTCCCCTGAGTAGTATGTGGGTCGGCTCTAAATAATAATTTATGTGCTGTGTACAAAGACATTAATCTTTATTGGAACTGAAAAGTATATGCAAGCCGCTGACAAGCTATTTGCTTGCCCAGCCAAAAGTACTATCAATAAAGCACTCGACTCGCGACTTTCTCCTTTCTTTCGTACCAATATATACCTATTGCTAGCCATAATGAATATAATTGTTAGGGAACGTTTTGGGCTGTGGTGCCTTACCCAACATTTTATGTCCAACAGCCATTCATTTGTTTGCCTTAAACCACTTGACAATTGGCCAAATTGGCGTATTATAAAGTTATGCAAATTTATGTAACGGGCAAAAGAACGCAGATCTCAAAATTATATACCCAAAAAAAAACCAAAAATACCAAAAAAAAATACCCAAAATTAAATACCTAAAACTAAATACCTAAAATGATATGCCTAAAATTATATACCTTAAATTACATACCTAAAATTATATACCTAAATTTATATACCTTAAATTAAATACCTAAAATTAAATACCTAAAATTAAATACCCAAAATTAAATACCCAAAATGATATACCCAAAATTAAATACCTAAAATTAAATACTTAAAACTAAATACCTAAAATTAAATACCTAAAATTATGTATTTATTATTTGTCAGGTGTTTATAGAGAAAATAATATTCTAAAGCAAAAATTACAAATAATCTCAATTTACCAAATTCTTTAAGAAAATACAATAAATAGGAAAAAAGAAAGAAAAAAGTTATAAATAAAGTAAAGAAATGTAGACTAGATTTATAGAGTGTTAAGTAGATAGGATAAAGAGATAATTGATGGGAAATTAGCGACCCGTTGGGGAAAATGTATAGCCTAATCGACAAGCTAAGCCCCTACTCATAGGTATGACTCGAAGATTAGATGGAAGCTAGACCCTTTAATTTCGGAATGTAGGTTTTTAGAAAAATCCTTGCCATTTTCTAATATAATATTAAATTTCTTGTTTTTTTATTTTTGCTCGAAGTTTAAACGAGCTGGAGACGCCCAAATTTGGTCTGTAAGTTTTTGTAGGGTATACAAACATCCATAATATTTTACTTTTTACAGTGAAAACCAAGAGAAGAGGCTATACAAACATCCAAAATAGTTACCTATTCGGATATCACACACGTTCCCCCCAAAATTTATAGCAAATAAAAGACATTATTGGAGATTTTTAAATTTTAAATTATAAATATTAAAAAACTTCAGACAACGGAAGTGCATCAAGAAAGCATTTTCCACAGTGGAAACCAAGAGAAGTAAAAATCTATTCGCAATATGTGTGTTTAATGCATGTATTTACAGAAGTTAGGGTATCTGCCAGTCGGTCATCGCCTACTAAAAAATTGGAGCCCAATTTAAACACTTCTTTTTTTTTTGAATATTTATCAAAGAGCGAAATAAGATACTTATGAGCTGGTCTTTCATTTAAATTGGTTCGAATATTAAGTACATTTATTGTTCGTTTAGTAAATTAAGTACATTTAATGCTGATGGATTGCTTTTGAGCCTTTTTTTTTTGAGTTTAAGCCGTATTGTTTGTTTAACTGAATCCGTGCCGGACTTGTTTAATGGGGTTGTGCACCTGGGCCAACACAGTCTGGACGTTTAACAATTTAGCATATATATGCAAATTGAATTAAACTAAATGGCAATGGAATGTGGGCGTGTCTGTAGATATAAAGGGGCGGGGCGGTGGCGAGGGGGTGTGGGCGGGCGAAGAGTTTTCACCAAGCTGGCCAAAAGCCAGTCGAGTGTTGCGTTTAAGATGCAATTCATCCGTTGAACGATTTGATTTATATGGTTGTTGTTTTTCATTATTATTAAGATAATATTAATTTGTTGCTTGCTCATGAAAATGGAAAGTAAAAGAAATCTGCGCTGTTAACATGCATGCCTTAACATGAAAAAGCATTAAATATTTACTTACAGATATGCATATGTGGGGGAGGGGGGAGATCTTCTGGTGTTAACAACCTGAGCGTTTAGTGCGTGCCTAAGATGATGATCATTGTGAATGTATGTCGCCGTCTCGCTCTATGTAATTAGTTCGCAAACAATTTGCTACGTGGAAAGTGAGCGCCGTCTCTTTTGTCACTTGTCTTTATTGAAGACTTAACCCCATTAGCGTGAATTGGCGCACTTGCCGATCAGCGAGGCAGGTAACTGGCAAGGGCAGCGGGCGGGGGGTAACACAAAGAAACAAACTTTCTGCGGCATGCCAAAGAACGGCGAGGCGAAAACTTTTACCCAGCCCAAAGACGCACAAAACTCATTCACGAAGCTGCGTAGCTAAAGAAAGAGATGTCGAGAGAGAGAGGGCAAGCGGGAGAGCAAGAACCAGAGTTTTTGTGGTCATCTTGGGAATTTTTAGTACTCTGCTTTTAGTACCAATGCAAAGAAAAACCTGTTTTCGAGCAGACAGCAGCCCAAGTGAGCAGCCGCAGCCGCAGCAGCAGCAGCAGCCATGGCCAACGCCAGTTGCTGCGCGACGCTCAAGTGGAGCACAAGACGTACAAAGCACAGTCGGAAAGAAGCAGCCGTCGCTGTAAACGAATTGAAACGGGACGCGACGTCAACGTCGAAGTCGAAGCCGAAGCCAACGCCGCTGCGCATGCGCAGTCAGTTGTAGTTGTAGTTGTTATTGTGTACTTGTTGCTGTGCAACGCCAGTGCGCAGCTTAATTATTGCCCCAGCTCCAGCACCAGCAGCAGCAGCTCCCGCGCTGTTGTTCCCGTTCCCCCAGTTGGCAAAGTTTACTTGTTTGTCTGCATTTTTCCCGCACTTGTATAAGTACAAGCACACATACATATATACAGACACACACACACACACCGTGTGCGCTGTAATATTTTTGTTGCCAACTGTGTGTGTGTGCGCTTTTCCCTGGGAAAATATTCTTGCCGTTTTGCGCTTTCTTTTTGTGTCTACTATAACAAAAACACAAATGTAAACAAGCCGCGATAATACAACAACAAAACTTCCTCGGTTATTACGGTGCTTTGTGCAATCGGCGAACAAAAAAAAAGAATCGAATCAAAAAATTTCCCAAGCAAAAACAACAACAACAACGACAGTGACGTGCAATTTCCCAAACAGCCGCAACAATCAAAAAAAGTAAGCCAAAATATAAATCAGAAGAGAAACAAGTTACACACCAAACACAAAAAAAAAACAAATTGTAAACCGCAGTTTGTGATTAACATATTTCCCATCAAAAAGTCTCTGTTTTTAATCGCCATGTGCATGTGTTTCTGTGAGTGTGTGTTCGAGTGTGTGTGTGTGTGTGTGTGTAAAAACAAGAAGTGGACGCAGCCGCAGACCGGACCATGTAGCTAAACGAGACCTTGAAGCTGTCTCTGCCAGTTCAGGTCGCGTCTTGGAGCAGCTTTTGGTATCGAATCGATTCCCATCATGCATTTCAATGAGTAAAAGGGGCACTGCGATAAAATGGTTGGGAAATTGAAATAAAATGCAACCTGCCATGTTGTTTTATAGGCAATATAAAATTTACATATGCTCGAGCAACATATTTACGAAAGATCTGGCCCGCTATTTCGACAACTGACCAAATAACGTTTTGCATGACTATGGACCGTAGAGCAATAGCAAACATACTCACCCATACGTGCAAACACTTGTGTGTTGTATACACACACACACACACATATGTACGTAGATATTTACGCTCAAAGTTTTTGGTGTCGATGCGCAATCCAACAGTCCAATCCAACGGTACCTCAAATGCCTTGAGAGAAATAATCAAGAATATGATGCATAACTCCCCATTCATTCGTATGTACATGTATAAATGTAGAACAAACAGACGTACGTGTAGAACTATGTTCGTATGTATGGGTACTTGCTGGAAGTGTATAAATGTATATTTAAGTATAGAAGTAATTAGCACGCCAATTCCTCTATAGGATTTACCTTGTTTGCGTAAATCTATAATCATTTTTCGCTGCTCTACGGTTTCACACTGCTTAATATATAAATTGAACTTTCAACAATTTTATCTAATACATTTTTTTTTCAAATAACGGTGCGTACAGAGTTGCACTTTGGCAAAAAAAGGTGTGACTATATCAAAATTAAAATTAAAATACCAACTTCATATTGAAAACTGCCAAAACGTTTGGAAAAATAATTGTATTGCACAAATAGCTAATAATCGTATAAAAAATATAAAGTGATTCCATATTAGACGGTACAAAAAATTAGATAATATTAAATTGCCAATACTTTTGTCCGCGACTGTAGAAACTGGAATAAGCTGCGCAGGCGCCGCATTAATCGCCTAATGTATTCTTGATTGATTGATTGATCTATGCAAGTACCAAACAATAATAAAAAATTGAAATATATTGATGCAATTTAAATAAAATAATAAAATATTTTGATGCAATTTTAAGATTGCGAGAAACCAACTAATGATACTTATGGATATTATATATTCTTGATTGATCTGTAAAAGTAGCAAATAATATTTTTTAAAATTAAATATTTTGATGCAATTTTATTTAAAGTCTTATGATTCAATTATATTAAATCTCAGATTCATATGGCGTGTCTCAAAGTTTGCGAGGAACAAAATTATGGTACTTACGGATATTATTCAGTCTTAATTGATTGATCTGTGATTGATTGACTGATTTGATGCAATTTTAATCAAAAAATTGAAATATTTCGATGCAATTTTAATTTAAGGCTCAAGATTCAATTATATTAAAGCTCAGATTTATAGGGCGAGGCTCTAAGTTTGCGAGGATCGAAGTTCTTCACAGATCCTGAGAAAATCAGATAGATTATTCCTTGAAAGGAGCCTCATCTATTTGCATGAGAAAGTTAGATTTTTGTTGTGCTTTCCATATTTGTAGGTTAATTTGGAAGTATAGCTTCAATAAGAAGTCTAAAATAACTAAATTTATGTCAATTAGGACAACCCAACCCGAAAGAGCTCGGACAGGATATTTCTTGTACAAAAAGTGACCAAAATATCTTCTAGCATTAAAATCAATGCAGTTTTGACTAAGTAATAACAATTTTTAGTATAAAACAAGCACTTTTTTATGAATCCGGGAATATTACAGGTCGAAATAGTTGTTAATTTTGGCGGGAAAAGCAGCCCGGGAGACATTTTCAACTGTCTTCTACTCATTTTGAACCAATTTTTTAAATATCTAATGTATTTTCATATTTAAGTGGGTAATTTAGCAGTTCGTAATGCCGCATTCCTTGGCCCAATGTGTAGGTAGCTGGCCTTAACTTGTTGTTGGCTTTATTTATTATGGCGTTCCATCGGAGCTGGAGAGCTTGGCGAGCTTGTCAACAACGAGAACAAGAAACTCAACTTTTTTAAATATGCGGTTTTCGACAATAAACAACAACGACAACAACAAAAAGTCTCCAATGTTATTCAAATTAAATGTTCTGCCCGCGTTCGAAGATAAAAGAGGAAATGACCAAATACAGCGTGGCTCGGGCCAGAATAAATGCTTAAATCAAGCACATAATTAGCGCTATGTTGTAATACCCTGTAACTATTACAAGAGGGTATATAAAGGTATTATGAATCAAGTAGAATATTTTGTACTTTCAGTGCAAACTCAGAGACTAGCTTAAAAAGTATTTCCCTCTATTGCCCACCCAAATCAAATTTATTTTAAGTTATCTATGAAAGAAATCGAAAGTATCCATTTTAGAATAGGTCTTTCTTACAATACACCAAGTCTTACACGGAAGAGACCTAGATAAACCAAATTTAGTAGCTTGTCTGTCTTATAAAATACACAGATCTCAAATATTTAATATTAACTTTTTGGCAACCTAATTTTAAAAGGAATATCCTTAAGATTTTGTTTTTTACATACATTTGGATGCCATATTTACTCCCTGAACGTGTCAGAAATATCAGACGATGATTTCCCCGGTTATTGAATAACGTATTTCCCATAGTGAAAAGAAAAGAAACTCCCTGCATTCGAAAACGTGAGAATGCGTGTGTGTGTGTGTGTGTTTTTATACCCTTGCAAAGGGTATTATTATTTTGTCTTGACATGTGTAACGCATAGAAGGAGACAACTCCGATCCCATCAAGTATATATATATTCTTGATCAGTATCAACAACCGAGTCGATGTCCGTCTGTCGGTTTCTATGCGATCTAGTCTCTCAGTTTTAAAGCTATCTTTGTGAAACTTTGCAGAAGTGCTTTTTTATGTTGCACGCATTACATATGTTGGAACCAGCTGGATCGGACCACTATAACATATAGCTGCCATAGGAACATTCGGTCGAAAACGAGGTTCTTATATGAAAAAGTTTTTTGTCAATAATGATATCTTGACCATACTCGGCATTTATTAGTTTTACTATGCTTCTCATATATATACAAAATCCTATTAACATCGGACTACTATATCATATAGCTGCCATAGGAACGATCGGTCAAGAATTAAGTTGTTGTATGGGTAACTTTTTTGTTTATTAAGATATCTTGACCAGAGTCGGAATTTATTAGTTTTACTATGCGTCTCATTTATATGCAAAATCGTATCTGTATCGGACCACTATATCATATAGCAGCCATAGGAACGATCGGTCAAGAATTAAGTTGTTGTATGGAAAACTTTTTTGTTTATTAAGATATCTTGACCAAAGTTGGAATTTAAAGGTTTTACTATGCTCCCTACATTTATGCAAAACCTTGTCTATATCGGAACACTATAACATATATCTGCCATAGGAACGATCGGTCCAAAAGAAGGTATTTGTATGAGTCGGCATTAACTATTTTCCCTGTGCTTCCTAGATACGATGAAAGCAATATGGAAAGGTTAGGTCTGCAAGGGTATTAAATCTTCGGCGTGCCGAATCTATAATCTATATATGTGTGAATAGAAGAAAGTGCGACTGTTTGTGACTGGGCAAAGGGTATCTACAAGTCAGCACTGCCGACTGGCGCGCTCTTGCTCAAAACAAGTTTTTCGCTGGTAATAAGTGTTACTAAATGGAAAATCAATCTTTAGCTGCAGCGAAAATGGAAACGTGGAAACAGCTGCTTTTGCTTTTGAGCTATCTGTGCTGCTTGACCCGACGCAGCGAGGCCTGGCGGCCATGTCCGGAGCTCAGTCCCGCCTTGCGATTGCCATGCAGGTGAGTGAAAAAAAAACCTGACAGACGGACGGACGACCGACGGATGACAGACGGCAAATTTCCGCTTGTTGCTGACGGACGCTGCGTATTATTTTAATATCTGCAATTTGTGAGCTGGTGCTGATTCGTTTGGCTTTGTTTGCGTTCAATCAATTGCGATTGACGACAATTACAATTACAATTGCAATTACAATTACAGATGCAATGTGGTGCCTTTTGCGGCAACTGGTCAGCTTGGAGCCGTTGCCATGGACTGCGATCGGGTTGTCTTTCACGGCGATGCGCCGCAGCTGCCGTATGGTGCGCCCATCGTGGCGTATACGCAACGCTACAGCGGACAGCAAACGTTGCCAGCACAGGTGAGTTAACTCTATTTAATCGAACGAAAGTCAATGACCCAGTCTTTGCAGACATTCGGTCAGCTGAAGCTGCCCATTGAGGAGCTGGACCTGTCCAACAATTTGATACGTCGCATACCGGAGAAGGCATTCGATGGGTTGAAGGATGCGCTGAACGAACTGCGTCTGGCCAACAATTTGCTGGGCGATAATCTGAATCCAATATTTTCTACGGCGGAGCTGCACGCTCTCAAAAACCTGCGCCTGCTCGACCTGTCCGGCAACAAGATCAAGCTGATTGAGGAGGGTGTGCTCAAGGGTTGCATCGACCTAAAGGAGTTCTTCATGGATCGCAACAGCCTGACGGCGGTGCCAATCAATTCGCTCAACGGACCCAGCGCCCTGAAGCATCTCTCTTTGCGCCAGAATCACATAGGTAAGCCATATTGAACAAATATCTTTTACAACCTTGCTCCAGTTGGATGGGAAAGGGTCACGGGAAACCTCGAAGCAAGTTTTGGTTCTGGCAGCTCTGACAATCTTCGAGCTCTTCACAAAATCAGTATTAATCGAGACTACAAAAATGAGAGGATACATCGAGATATAGACAGACAGGAGGACTTGACCAGTTGGTCGACCTTAGTTGGTCGACCTGAGTTGGTCGACCTTTATTCGCAAATGCTTCCTTCTGCCAGTTACCCGTTTTCAGTATCAGTGTCAGTATTAATCGAGGCTACGAAAATGAGAGTGTATATTGAGATATAGCTGTGGACAGAAGGGCGGACTTGGGTTGTTGGTCGACCTTAGTTGGTCGACCTTAATTCGGAGATGCTTCCTTCTGCCTGTTACCCCTTTTCAATGGGTTCATTTCCCACAAATCAAAGCACATTCAGTTGAACTATTCCTTTTGCCATATTTAACAAATATCTTTTACAACCTTGCTCCAGTTGGATGGAAAAATGTCACGAGAAACCACGAAGCAAGTTTTTTTTTATCTAGCTCTGACAATCTTCGAGCTGTGATTTATAAACCATATCTCATAATCAATATTAATCGAGGCTACGAAAATGAGAGGATATATCGAGATATAGACAGACAGGAGGACTTGACCAGTTGGTCGACCTGAGTTGCTCGACCTGAATTCGGAGATGCTTCCTTCTGCCTGTTACTCGTTTTCAATATCAATATCAGTATTAATCGACGCTACGAAATACGAAAATGAGAGGATATATCGAAATATAGCTGTGGACAGAAGGGCGGACTTGACTAGTTGGTCGACCTTAGTTGGTCGACCTGAGTTGGTCGACCTTAGTTGGTCGTCCTGAATTCGGAGCTGCTTCCTTCTGCCTGTTACCCGTTTTAAATGGGTTCATTGCCCACAAATGAAAGCACATTCAGTTGAACTAATCCCCTTTGATGTTTCCCAGCTACGCTCCAACGGGATTCCTTCAGCGCCCAGGCCCAGCTGGAGATAATCGATCTGCGCTATAACATTTTGCGCAGCATCGATAGCCAGGCTTTTCATGGACTGCGCAAGATACGGGAAATCAAGCTGGCCGGCAATCGGCTGACCAATCTCAACAGCGATGTCTTCGAGCAGCTGCAGTCGCTGCAGAAGCTGGATCTCTCCGAGAACTTTTTCAGCCAGTTTCCAACCGTGTCCCTCGCCGCCATCGCAGGCCTTAAATCGCTCAACCTAAGCGCCAACATGCTGCAGGTAAGAAAGCAAGCTCTCTCTTGATTCGATTTGGTTATTAATGTGTGGCGTATTGCTAGCAACTGGACTACACGCACATGCAGGTGGTGAAGTCTCTGGAGAGCCTCGACCTGAGCCGCAACAGCATTACCAGCATTCCGCCGGGCACATTCCGCGATCAGAGCGCACTCAAGTATCTAGATCTCAGCCTCAATTCGCTGCGCACGGTAACTATTAAGAAATACAAAAAAAGGAACACTGTTTACCTACTTTTCTGCAGATCGAGGACGACGCTCTGGAGGGTCTAGAGAGCCTGCAAACGCTGATCATTCGGGATAACAACATTCTGCTCGTGCCGGGCAGCGCTCTGGGCCGCCTGCCGCAGCTCAGCTCACTGCAAATGGATTACAATCGCGTGGCAGCGCTCTCTGCCGAAATTCTGGGCTCGGTTCAGGCCGGCGACATCACGACCTTGTCCCTGTCACGGAATGTCATACGGGAGCTGCCGCCCGGCAGCTTCCAAATGTTCAGCAGCCTGCACACGCTCGATTTGTCCGGGAATTCCTTGGTCATGGTCAATGCGGAGACCTTTGCGGGTTTGGAGGGCACCTTGATGCAGCTGAGGCTGGCGCAGAACAAGCTCAGCGGGCTGGGCAACGCGCCGCTGGCGCTGCCCGAGCTGCGCTCCCTGGACCTCAGCGGCAACAGCCTGGCCGAGCTGGCTCCAAATATATTCGAGGACTTGGAGAATCTGCAGGCGCTGAATTTGAGCGGCAACCATTTGACGCCGTTGACGCCGGCGCTCTTGCGGCCCTTGGCGCGGCTCCAGGTGATCGATCTGAGCCAGTGCAGCATACGGCAGCTGAGCGGCGATCTGCTGGCCGGGCTGCAGGATCTCAAGCACATCCATCTCGGCGGCAATCAGCTGCAGGAGCTGCAGGACGGCAGCTTCGTCAATCTGTGGAACATCAGCTCCATCGATCTGTCCGACAATCTGATCAACTCGATACGCGCCGGCGCCTTTGTCAATGTGATGCAGCTGAAGCGTTTGGATTTGCACGGCAATCAGCTGTCCGCGTTTAAGGGCGAGTTCTTTAACACGGGCACGGGCATCGAGGAGCTGGACATATCGCACAATCAGCTCAGCTATCTGTTTCCCTCCTCATTCCGCATACATCCGCGTCTGCGCGAGATCCGTGCGGCGCACAACAAGTTCTCCTTCTTTCCCGCCGAGCTGATCGCCTCGCTGCAATATCTGGAGCACATTGATCTCTCCGACAATCAGCTGAAGACCGTCGAGGAGCTGGACTTTGCCCGGCTGCCGCGTCTGCGCGTCCTGCGGCTGGCCCACAACCAGCTGGACATGGTCAGCGAAATGGCCTTCCACAACTCGACCCAGCTGCAGATCCTCGACCTGTCGCACAACAGCCTGGATCGCATAGGCGAACGAACTTTTGAGGGCCTGGTGCGTCTCGAGCAGCTGAATCTGGAGCACAATCGTCTCGCGGAGTTCTCGGACAGCGTCTTCGAGCACTCCAAGCTGCACATGCTCGAGAACATAAATCTCGCACACAATCGTTTCGAGTATGCGCCGCTCAAGGCTCTGCAGCTGCGCCACTTTTTCGTCTCCTCGGTGGATCTCAGTCACAATCGGATCCGGGAACTGCCACGCGACGACAGCATCATGGTGAACATCAAGCGGATCGATCTGTCCTACAATCCGCTCAGCAGCCAGGCGGTGCACAATGTCCTCAACGAGCCGAAGACGGTGCGCGAACTGAATCTGGCCGGCACGGGCATCGAGGAGCTGCAGCTCCTGGAGACGCCCTTCCTGCAGTATCTGAATCTGTCGCACAACAAGCTGCGCAACATCAAGGCGCAGGTCTTCCAAAGGGTCACCCTATTGGAAACCTTGGATCTGTCTAGCAATGAGCTGAAATCCCTGGACGATCTGTCGCCCGCCTGGCCGCAGCTGCAGGTGCTCCAAGAGCTGGACGTGTCCAACAATAGCTTCGAGCTCATCTCGCAGTCGAACTTCGGCCAGCTGGAGATGCTCCGGACGCTGCGGTTAAACCATTTGAAGCTATGCAGCCGCATCGAGAAGCAGGCCTTCCGGCCGTTGCCCAATCTGGCCACGTTGGAGGCGTACGACCTGCCGCTCCTTGGCTATCTGGATCTGCAGGGCATCATGGAGCTGCTGCCGGGTCTCGAGCAGCTGGACATTGAGGTCAAGGATGCAACGATCGGAAGCGAGCAGATCCAACCCCTAAAGCATCCCAGACTCTGCTCGATCGGAATACGCGGCGAGCGCTTGAAGTCCATCTCCTCCGGCACCCTGGCCGGGCTCAAGTCCAGCGATCTCACGATCAAGCTGCAGAATACATCGCTGACAGCGCTGCCGCCGGCGCTGCTATTTCCCGTGCCGCGCTCCTCGCAGCTGAGACTCAATGTGGCGGGCTCCAAGATCGGCTCGCTTGTGCCGCAATTCCTCAACGCACTCGAGGATCGACGGGCGAGCCTGCAGCTGCAGGGCTTGGCCAGCAATCCGATTAACTGCAATTGCGATGCACGCGCTCTGCGACGCTGGCTGCCCAGCTCGGGCATGCCGGAGCTAATCTGTCGGCAGCCAACCTACCTGGCCGGCCGCAAGCTGATCGAGGTCGGCGACGATGAGCTGACCTGCGATCCGCGACGCATGACGCAGACTTCCTCCTCCTCCACCTTGAGGCCCTCCAGCTCGCACAAGACCTCCGGCCAGCTGGTGACCCGCACGGAGGAGCCGCTCATCATCTGGAGCCTGGAGCCGACACAGCCGACAATCATGAAGATCAAGACCAAGGCGCCGCTCATGAAGGCCGCCCAGGCGCCGATCATCAGCAACGACGACACCCTCATCATTGGCATTGTCGGCGGCGTTGTCGCCTTCATAGCCATCCTGATCATCATCATCTGCATTATACGGCTGCGGATGAGCAATGCCGAATATCAGCAGAGCGCTGCGATGATGGGCATGCCGTCAGCCATGCAGCTGGGCGCACACAATGCCGCCTACGGCTACAAGAACGGCTTGGCGCCGGCGCTCTACGCCGTGCCGCCGTACCAGGCCAGCTATGCCACGCTGCCGCACAAGGCGCAGTCCACGCAGAATCTGACGCAGCGGCAGCAGCAGCAGGTGGCCCAGCAGCAGGCACAGCAGCAGGCACAACAGCAGGCGGCTGCAGTGGCCGCCTACTCGACCATGTCGCGCATGTCCTACTTCAGCGGAGCCGGAGCGCCGGGCAGCGCGGATGGCGCCGAAAGCCTGACGCATCAGCAGCATCAGCACCAGCAGCATCATCAGCCCTACATCATCTACTCGGACGACAAGGCTTATAGATAAAGAGAAATCTCTCTCAGTCAGTCACACAGGTTCTACACAATCGTCATCGCGTCCGCTTATGTTGTTTGTATATAGACCTAGTTCATTCGTATCCATAACATAATTAAGTCCACAAATCGCGTAAGCGTAATAAACAAATTATAGTATAATATTAGGAAGCGATTCAAATTATAATTATTATCTTATTTGCTGATCGAAGCAGGAGCTCAAAACTTAAGCCGAGGCTTTGAGGCTTTCCTTTATAGTAAATTTCTTTCTTTCGATCATATATGTTCCAATCCCTAACCGACTGCGACTCCTTGAACTGGCATCTTATACAGCAAGATCCTGAAACTTTTGCTCTAATCTGTCGGATACAATTTAGAATTAACCGAATAATTATATTTGAGCTTGAGTAAATATAATACCACAGACTTTCGCTTTCCTTCCAATGCAGAGACCATATATGTTCTAATGTTTCCCAGCTGAAAAAGAAAGAATTCTTGTAATAATTGATTTTCTTTCGTTTAATTATTGGACCTACCTTTGCCCTAATCTATTAGATATGCTTTGGAATCAACAGGAATATTATGTTTGAGTTCTTCAATATAATACAACAAACTTTTGTTTTAATCTTTATAGTAAATGTCTTTCTTTCGATCCAAATGCAAAGATCATATATGTTCTAATCCCTAATCGGTTGCGACTCCTTGGACTGGCATCTCATATAGACCCTGAAAGATTTCTTGTAAAAAATGTTTATTCTTTTAATTATTGGACTTACCTTTGCCCTAATCTGTCGAATAAACAGGTGTATTATTTTTGAGCTCTTTAGATTTAATACAATAGACTTTTGTTTTGATTTTCAGCCCATCTCTTAGTAAATGCCTTGCTCTCCTTCCAATGCAGAGACCATATATGTTCCCCATCTGAAAGAAAGATATCTTGCAATAATTGATTTACTTTTACTGGACTTACCTTTGCCCTAATCGTATCGTATACACTTTGCAATCAACAGGTTTATTATATTTTGAGTTCCTTAATTTAATTCAATAAAGTTTTGTTTTAAATTTGAGCCCGTTTTCGTTTTTATTACAGTTCACAAAAAATGGTTTGTACAACAAGATGTGTTTCTATAAAAGGCCTATACTCGTAAATGCGCATATATTCATCTGTAGACATATATATATATTTTTTTACTAATTTATGATATATATATTGTATAAGATGGGGGACACATGTAAATGTGTAGGAAACTTCTGGGTTCATCCATTCACAGTCTTTCATTTTGCATCGTTTAACAAAAGAAACAACAAGATCATATGAGCTTAAATACTAAATAGATGACCAACAATTTACATTTACAATTGTTACAATTATCATACACTTACAACAAATAACTAATGGCATCAAATCAAAGACAAGAGGAGATATACTATATATATAAAAATGCTCTGGCTATAGCTGAGCAATAACTCGGATCGCAATTCAGGAAGTTGACGTAGTCTTTAATAAGCAAACCCATCCATTCCGCAATCTACGCCATTTGCGCATAGGACGTGTGCATTTTGTAGTCCCGGCGACGATAGTAGATCATCAGGCCATAGCTGACGCAGAGCAGAGCGGCAATGATGCATATGAGAATGCCTGCAAGATGATTTTCAATTATAGTTAATTATTTGCCTATAATTATTATTATACTATAGATACTTTTATCCTAGTTTTGCTATGATAACTTGCCTGTTGCTGCGCCCAAATTAGCCTCCTCGTATGTCATTGTCAGCGTGGATCGCTTGCACTCCTCGGCCCAGTTCTCCGGCAACACATCCTCATACAGGGCATACATCTTGGCCAGCGGACAGGATACACCACAGCCGGGTATATGCATTGGCAGCGGTTCAGCTGTTGTGTTTTTATAGAAAACCGATACCAAGGGCGCATTGCTGTCATCCACACGCAATTCAAACATTATGCACGCCGTGTACGGCGGACTGTGTAGCTGGAAAAATAAAATATATATATATATATATATATAAATATAATATAATACAAAAATATCTTGAAAAGAGAAAATGTTTCGAAACGAAAACTCTTAGAGATACATGATATATATACATATATAAGGAGTACGGGTTTAGTTCAGTTTAGTTAACACAAAAATATTTGCTCGATCCGTCCAATGACAGCTAAATGCTGCCTGGAACAAAAAGGCGGAACTATGCAAAATGTCGTAAAGATAGTTTAAAAACTAGAGACTAGTTTATAAAAAAGCAGACAGGACAGACGGACTTGGCCATCGACTTGGTTGTAGATCATAATCATAATCCTCTGAAAGGCTTTCCGTATACCTGAAACAGCTTGAGGGTATTCAGCATGTTGGCAATTGTGGTATCATGTGCGCTGTATATGAACACGGACCGATCCGGCGACAGTTGTTTGTTGTGCTTGCTCTCGAAACGGGCGAGCACATCCTTGAGGAGCGGTCCACCCTTGAGGCGCGCCAATTGACGTGTGTACGTGTTTATGGAGAATGCAAAATTTGAGACATAGGTCAGGTCAGCGCCGCCGTAAACCTTTTGGGTCCACTCGGGCAGGGTTCGGTTGTACAGAGTTTCAATGAACAATGTGTTGTTGAAATATTGTGCATCCATAAATGACTTAATCGGCCGACCGCTATTTTGTCCCAAATACTCAAAGAGATCTTTGTAATGCGCCCATTTGGCCTGAAACTCCGCGGATGCCTTAAAGTTTTCCAGATAGTAGTCGAAGGCGGGACAAGGTGCCTTGGCAGCCAGAATCTGTTCAAATGGAGTTTTTTGATAATTATTTAACAGATGTAAGATAACCTTATGTGAGATACCCCTACCGGATCGTCCTTTTCGGGCACGGAATGCACCGGAATTGGTTGCCATTTAATGAGGGGATTCCACACATCATCGCCAACGGGCTCGTATAAGCCAGCCAAGTTCGATTGTGCACTCATGAGTGTGCGATCCACGTCCGTGGACTGAACAAAGACCTGCTCCCTGTCGTACCTGCTGTCCAACAATGAGTTGTAGCGATTTCGCAGCCATTTGCCCAGCTCGTAGTGTTGTTGCTTGCCACGCTGACGAAAAATATATATAGGTATTTGTGATTAAGACTTTGTTGACTCACAACTTTGTGACTCACATTTGTAAGTTGACCCCAGCCTGCGGGCCAGTATTTGCGATTGTTCCACGGATCTGTTGGATACGGGTCGACGGGCATTCGGTCGCCATGACGAAATATCTGCATTGCAAAGACCAAGCATTAACCATATGGGGCTATGCCCGGGGACATTGGCATTGACTTACCACATGCACGAACTTTAGCTCGCCAGGCAGAGTGGCCCGGACACCCTCCTGAGCCTCCTCGACATAGGTGGGGCGAAGGGCTTGGCCCAGATCGAAGCACGAGCAGAGCAAGACGAGCGCCTTGATACAGTAATATGGGTACTTCTCCATCTTCAACAAAAGGGGGGTGTTCAACAAATTGGTGAATTGTTAAATAAAATGCTTTGTTGTGGCTGGCTGGTGCACTTTATGCACAATCGCGTTGCTCACCAGACAAACAACTGGAAAGGAATAAGGTTTAAGCAATTGCCATTGTTGTCCGATTGCCTTCGATATATATTATTTCGAGCAGTGCTATCGATTGCTTGTGAATCGATACAAGAGTGTGACCAAATATTACAGTATTTTTAGTTGACAAAATATGTACGAAAAATTTGATATTTTGCTATGAATTGATTACATAAAATACAAATTAGACTAAACTACAAATTAAGAGTGTTTTCATGGCGTTGTAGCTTTGCATGCAACATGCAACACTATATATCATATATTATATGTAACACTTGCAATACTATCGGTAACGCACTATTCACAATATTCAACTTTACTATTCGACTATTCGAATACATTGCCCATCGCTAGTAAAATGTGACGATTGAATTTTACAAAGTGGGGATCTTTCTGAACGCGACGCGGAGAGAAGACGCAACAAATTTTTCACTCCTAAAACATTTCTTTATAACTTTTTGTTATGACATCACTGGTAAAATAAATCTTATCCCCAAACGGGGGACTGAGCCAATTAAGTTGTTTTGAGTAAACAATTTTTGCAGGACAAAAAAATGGAACACGAGTTTCTATTGGAGAACCGCAAGCTCAAATTGGAGCAAGACAAGTTGGAATTTGAGAAAGCCAAGGAGGACCGCAAGATGAAATTGGAGGAAAAGAGGTTGGAGCTTGAGCGATATAAGTTAATTTTGGAGAAACGTCAATTCGAAATTAAGAACAATGTATTCATATCTGATCTGAAACGCTTACAATGGATATAAGACAGGGTTCAACCTCTGTATCTCTATGACAGGTTGTTATTAATTGTACTTTAATGTACTTCTTGGTCTTCTATTAAAATGTGAAGTGGTTGCATCGATGATTTTATTTTTCTGTGATTGGCCATTAATTAGTATTAATAGTTTTACTTTATGAAAAAACTTTCAATAGTGCCACCAGCGATAGTATAAATACTATCGAATTTCGATGGAACTATCGATTTTTTTTTGGACGTTAACGTCCACATACTGATTTCTTAAATTTCTAAATCCAGTTGGTCTGTGTGAAATTCTACAGATATTAGAAACTTGAAAAGATGTACCTCACAAAGATGTATTCACAGAACGGATTCTACGCACCATCAACAAGTCCGATTTCAGTGTGTCCTTATTGGGTCCTCAATTGGGTATCCCAAATGGCATCAGTCTCAAATTGGGAATCAAGAAAATCAAAGCAACCAAGTTAGCAATTAATATTTGTATTGATAATATCGTAAGTCGTCAAACAAAGGGAAGAACATGTCGCACTAGACGTTCGTGTCGTCAAAGTTTCTATTTGCACATTGCTCAAATGGATAAATACTTTTCATACTTAATGAATACAATTAACAAATATACTGTTGATTGGTTGGGCTTAATATAACGCGTATTGTTATTGAAAAATTGTTTCAAACTCTTTGTCTTAAATTAAGATGTTGCATGGGCGCAATTATTGGAAAACAAAATTCGGCTATTAGGTCAGCAATCCACTTAGATTACACCGGCGTCTAGGGTCCATGATAAAATGTTACATACAGGATGTTGTTGGCTTTAAAATCTTCTATTACCGCTCATATTCTGCGCTGGCCTGGGTCCATTAAACCTGCGTAAACCGTTTATATATCAAAGCATCGATTATGTATTGATCAATACAAGTGTCAGCTTACCGATTCCTATTGACAGGCACACCCCCGCTACCATGACTAGCCCCCAGGGGCGGAAAATCCGATTGATATGCATTTGCTGCGCTGTGAGTGTGCCCGTTTGCGGGTCCATGTTTGTTAAAGTTTTGCGACATGCTGCTACTCGGCCCGTTCGGTCCACCACCACGTCGAGCACTGAATCCACCACGGCCACCGAAGCCGCCACGGCTGGCGTTAAATCCACCACGACCGCTTTGCGTGCTGCCGCTGTAAAAGTTAATTAATAATTTTTGTAAATTAATGTTTATGTGTCCAGTGCTGCGATTGAGCTTTTTTCGAAATTGTCAGCATAAAATAGTTGACAATTTTAATTGATTTAGCTATCTTTTTTGCTTAGCAATGACAGTTAATAACAACCCTGTCATTGCCAATTGTGCTCACAAGTTTAATTACAAATATATTTCAAATTGGAATAAGCCAGTTTTTATAAGCAGCAGCTGGCACCTTTGCATCTTACCTGCTCATGCCAGAATTGTGGCGATTCCGCTGGTACATTCCACCATCGGAATTATTCCCGCTCGGAACCATTGTACCGTTGCCAAAGCGACTTTGCTTTGCTCCGAACGACAGCTGCTGCTGCTGCTGCTGCTGGTGCTGATGCTCCACAGCTGGCAGGGCAAATCCGCGACGATCTTGGCCAATGTTGTTTGCTGGTCCATGGCTGCCGCCGCTTCGGTGAGCGCCGCCAGCTCCAGCTCCAGCAGAGCCAATATTGCCAGCATAGAAATCATTGTGACCCATCTGGCCCATGCCTTGGTTAAATTTGTTTTTGAATGGTTGAGCGGGCCCGTCAAAGTTCTGGCTCTGCTGTGGCAGGACCTTGCTATAGGGCGCATTGCGCTGCTGCCTAAAGTTGCCTTCATTTCGCATTGGTCCAAACTGACTTTCGTTCGAGTTTAATGATCGGTTACCGCCGCCGCCGCCGCCACCGCCTGCTCTGAAATTGTTGTTGCCACCCGTGTGGCTGCCACCACGATTAAAGCTACCGCCGCCGTGTCCTAAAATTTGGATATTTTCATTATTGCCATTGATTTGTTGGGTAAATTGATTACCTTGTTGCATGGGTGGTCTTCTGTTGCCGGCACCTCCCCCTCCTCCTGCACCACCAGCGCCACGTCTGTCTTTGGGCCTGCCCGGTTCCACGACAATGGTCTGACCTTTGAATTCGATGCCATTTAGAGCGGCAATCGCTTCCTCTGCCATTTCAATGGTCTCCAAGTGCACAAATCCGCACCGGTTCATAATATCGCATTCGACTACCACGCCATAATTTGTGAACAAATGTCGCAGCTCCTCGGGCTTGCAGCCAGGCGGCAGGCTGCCCACAAAGACTTTGGCGGTCTGAAGAGCGATTGAATACAAATTGAGCACTCCCAGTGATTTGGTAACATCAGGAGGATAATACTTACAGACATATAGATTGGTACTTGTCTCGCTTTGTTTTTTTTTTCGCGTGCACTTTTTTTTTCTACTTCGTGAGTGCAAAACGCACAAGAGCGATGAAAAGACTGAGTTACTATCGATGTATCGATAACATAGAATCGAGTACAGTTGTATTTGTTTACACTTTTTTTGTAATAACTATATTTTAAAGAATGTGGGCGCCAAGCACTGAGGAAACATATTTTGCCAGAATGGACTTCAGTGATTTGGTAACATCAGGAGGATAATACCTACAGACATATTGATTGGTACTTGTCTCGCTTTGGTTTTTATTTTTCGTGCACTTTTATTTTCTATTTCGTGTGTGCAAAACGCACAATACCGATGAATGCGATGAAAAGACTCTGAGCTACTATCGATGTATCGATATCATAGAATCGAGTACAGTTGTATTTGTTTACACTTTTTTTGTAATAAATATATTTTAAAGAATGTGGGCGCCAAGCACTGAGGAAACATATTTTGCCAGCATGGACTATACAAAAAACGTTGTAAACTTAATGCCCAGCTCAGAAATGCTGGTCACCTTCTTTGGGGGGGACAGGGACATGATGCGCGCCAAGAAAGCTTGCTTACTGTACGCCGAAAAAGTAGACTTCAAGGAGCTGATTGTAAGCGCCGCCTTCAAAAAGGAACCCTAATTGTAGATATTCTAATTTGCATGTTACCCCGCAGCAATTGCGTTTGGCCGAGAAGGGCGATCAGCGACGTATGTACATCAGCACGGTGGACAGCGCATCGTTCCAAGAGCTGAAACAGGATCAGTCGCTAAATGTCACATTCGCTGGATTTATGGAAAATGTGATCCGCATGCTAAAGGACTGCCAGGCCGGCAAGCTGGAGCTGTGCCTGTCCGCGAAGGAAACAGCTGCCAGCGCAGCCGAGCAACCGAGCATCCACGACTACCGTCTGCAGTTCGTCGAAATACGCGCCTTCAAGAATCTGGTGCACTTGTGCCTGCCCTGTCGTTCGGCGCCGCTGCACACAGTTCTCTTCTACATCAACACGACGCTAGATGCGGCTCACAAGAAGCTGTATTTGCTGGAGCAGAACGCGCAACAGCTGCAAATGGAGCTGAATTCCCAAAGCGCGCACATCGAACAGCTAAGCTCGGACAATGGAAATTTACGCGAAGCGCTGGCCGAAAATACACGACACCTGGGCGAAAAGCACTCAGCAGAGCTGCAGCATATGCAGGATAAGCTGGAGAAGCTGAACGAGCAACGGGCCAATGAGCTAGAGCGCAATCGTCGCTCAATTGCCGGACTGCAGCAGCAATTGGAGCGCGCGACGCTGGACAAGGCGGATCTGAAGACAATGCACGAACAGGCCGAGAAGCGCAACCAAAGCCTCAACGAGGAGCTCACCTGCTGTAAATCGCGTATCTGCACGCTCAAGGAGCAAAACGAAAAGCTCCACACCGAGCTAACGGCTGCCAAGAAGCAAGAACGCAAACTAGAATACAAAATCGAAGACTTGAAACAGCACACAATGGAGCTGCAGGAGCACATACAGAAGGGCAACAAGGAAAAGGTGCGTGTCTCTCGTAACTATTTATGTAAAAGCGCTTGACATATTTCAAGCTATAGGCCAACATTGCAGCCGAACTGGAGGCGGAGAAGAAGATACTGCACACGAAGCGGCAGGCACTGGAAATGGCCTCCGATGAAATAGCTAAAGCGAATCAAATCATACTCAAGCAATCGCAGGAGCTGCTCAACCAGAAGAAGACAATTTCGTGGCGCACCGAGGTGGCGCTGCAGCAGGAGAAAGCGATCAAAGAGAAGGAGAAGCTTCTGAGCCAGCGTGACGAGGAATTACAGCAAACCCGACAAACCATCCAGCAGCTGCGCGAAGAAATACCACAGCAGCTGCAATCGATGCGTCACTTTGCCCAGGGCCTCGAGGAGAAGTACAAGAATCGTAGGTGCATAAAATAGACAATAAAAGTCTCAGTCTAAATCTCTGTTATACCTTCTCTCCTAGAAATACTCACGCTGAAGGCGCATTTGGAAGCTGCCGGCGGCAAGGAAAACTGCAGCCGCAAAGCGAATCGCAAATAGGTCAGCTTAAATTTAGTTAGCATTATTGTGTATTGTATAAATCATTTGCATTTGTTAGTTAATGTAGTTAATGTTAATTAAATTTATTTATCTACTTTTTGTGCTATTCAAAATCTTCAACCGGATTTTTGGCCGCTTGCACGTGCGCCGTGCCGACATTCACAACCTGGCTAATGTCCTCGAACTGATTCATTTTCAGCCGCTCGCGTATTAGCTCCGCAATCGCCTTCTGTGTGCGCCGCTCCAGGCGCTCCAGCTTTTTGCTTACGTCCCGCTTCAGGTCCCAGTCCGGTTTGCGCGGCGCCAAATTCGTTATGTCTATCTCATCGATGACCATGGGCTGCTGCAGCAGGCTGAGCTGTGACTGGACGGCGGATTCGATGTCGCCGGTGGGCTCTTGTGGCCGTACTTCACCTTCTGTATTTTCATTTTGTGGTTGATAGCTACGAAAAACTGGCCTGAAATGTTGCAAATGTTTTATTCGCTTGCAAACAGTCTGGAAAAATGTCGCCTGTCTCACCTGGGCAATTTGTCGGCAGCATCCGTTATGCTGGCACCTTTTGATTGGGCTTGTTCGCGCAGCTTCTGCAGCCGCTCCTTGCGTTTTATCGACTCCTCTGTAAGCTTGCCCAAATTGTTGTCATTATTGGCCATTATTAAGCAAAGTAAATAAAGCAAAACGCGAATTGCTGCCACTTTATATCGATACAAATACGACTGAAACGAATAGCGATTGTTTTTGCATGTTATCGATTGTAAGAAGCATCGACGTCGACATAAACATTGCATTTTCATTAAATATATTTTGCTATTTAGAAACCAAAAAATTTCCAAATTAAAAGTTGGCAAAATTTAAAACAGCTTATATCTCGAAAAATATCTCTTATGCTTATTATTGCCATTTGCACATCAATAACTATTCGATAATAAGTTATCGATAGGTGGAAAAGCGAATTGGATACATAAACATGGCAAGTTGGCAGCACATTTTCAAGGTATAAGTGTGGAGGGGAGGATAAAAACAACGCAAAATTTTACTTGTAAACCAACAAAAAAAAAACAGCAACCAATATTTTTTGTTAACCTGGCATTTGTGATATTAATATTTGCCAAATTGAAAGCCTAAATTGCTGTTGCCTTTGACCCGACATGCAGCAAATATATAAACACGATTAATAATGCAGCAGCTGCTGTTGCAATTGTTTTGGAGTAACAAAAATTAGCTGCTGCTGCAGGTAAAACTCTTTGGCTATTAAAAAACTATTTTTATGCATTACAACGGCTCGGCGCAAGCTAATTTGAGTTGGTTTCGATTAAAGGGAGCGACGTCGCCGCCGCCGCCAACAATACAACGGACGATCGCCAACTAACTGCGGCGGCATCCGCACGAGCTCATTGTTCTGTGACTGTGACATCGTTTATCCCTCGCCCGTTGCCCGTTGCCCGGCTACAGAGGCAGCTGCGGCTGTAGCTAAAAATGGAGTGGACCAGAGAGAAGACATTGCTGCTGATCAGCGAGTACCGACAGCGTCGCGGACTGTGGGATATGACATGTGACGAGTATCGCAAGAAGGATGTCAAGCAGCGACTCTTGAACGAAGTGAGCGACGTCCTTGGCGGCAATATACCCATACCGGAGCTGGAGAAAAAGTTTCATACGCTGCGCACGCAATATCATCGCGAAATCAATCGCATGAAACGCAAGGAGCCATACAATTCAAAGTGGTTTGGCTTTAAGAATCTCGTCTTTCTCAGCTCGCCCTTTGCGTGTCGCTCCACCAAAGGCCGCTCCAAGGAGGATCCATCAGCACAGAAATACATATTGGGCGAGGTCAACACAGCAGCAGCAGCCGCAGGCGCAGGCTCAGAGGAAAGTAATAATATGAACGACGAGTACATTATTGCGACGCGCAAGTCGCACGCCAGCAGCCGGGCGCAGGAGCTGGAGAAGCTTATCGAGGAGACGACCAAAGATGTAGAAGATATCGATGACGATGAGCCGGGCGTCGAGGAGGACGTCGATACAAAGCCCAAGCTGAGCAAAGAGCTGAGCGGCACATATGTGCACATTAACGAGGACGAGAGCGAGCCGCTCGAGGCGCACACACACCATCAGCCGCAGCAGCAGCATACCCAGCACCAGCAGCAGTCCATGATGGAGCTGCACCACTCGGCGAACGCTGTGGAGGCGGTCAGTTTTCAGGCCAGCGAAAGCGGCGAACTGCACTACCAGTCCACATCCTCGTCGGGCAATGCCGGCAATAGCAGCTCCTCGGTGCATGTGTTGCCCACGCGCATTATAAAGATACAAAGACGCGACACGTCCAACCAGGAGAACGGCTACTTCGAGGAGCAGTCCACGCAGCATCAGCTGCATCCGCCGCCGCCGAAACGACTCTATTTCGATCCCAATGGCACGCACAGCACCACAATACTCTCTGCCTCCACGCTCGCAGCGGCCAACCAAAATGGCAACAATGTGCTGACCACGACGGCGGCCGGAACACTGCGTCTGCCACGTGTCAATGCCATAGTCAATACGCAGTCGCTGTCGCTGTCGCCGCCCAAGCCAGCCAGCTCACCGATACCGCCGCCCGCTGTCGCCAGTTCCAGTCTAACGCAACGCGACGAGTTCTCCACCTACGGCGAATACGTGGCCAACGAGATGCGCGCCATTGGCAACAGGGAGCTGCTGATCGCGCTCAAGCACAAAATCAATACGGCCATATTTGAGGCGAATATGGCCGAGCTGCAGAAATGATATTGAAATCGAAATCGAAATGGGTAAAAATATAATCAAATATGAAGACGAGTTTTTAGCAAGAATTTATACTAAGTTTCCCCCAGTAATTACAATTGTAAAGCTTTCGTGTTTTTATCTGTGTTTCAAACTGTAAATTGACATTAATTCACACAATATAATATTTATGTATCAGATTTGATTAAATAAGCCAAATATAACATTTAGTAGAATCCAAATTTGACCTGATTATCTGTACAGAATTATTCTCATATATCCAAGCAGGCGATTAGCTTATTTGTATCTCAAATCAGAGTAAGTATTAGATAAATTCTTGTTTTTCTTTTTTTTTTTGAAATTTCGGTAAAATGATTAAGAATCCAATTTGCGAACCGTTTACAAATTTGCCTGTCCGAGTCGATATTGAGAAACTGGCGGCCGAATTTAAGCCCAAGGATAAGGAAAAAGATGTCGAAAAATCGAAAAGTCCGCGTGATTTTCTCAATATTCCCGACCACAAATGGGTTGTTTTGCCCATGTTCCGATATCATTTGGATCATTTAAGGCCGTTTCTCTCATTACGCACCAATCCATATATGCGCTGCCGTTACGTCAAGTTTCTAAACAATGTTCCGGATAACTATGTAAACGTTACTCTATTCGGTTCAAACATTAACAAGTATTTATTTGCATTACAATTAATCAAAAACAGATGTACTTATACTAAATGTCATTTAGTCAGCCAAAGCCAAGAAGAAAATCGCTAAATGGTCAATTTTACGGTGTCGACTATAAATTGGCGCCAATACCTGTTTCAGAGGATCCACGTAATTACGCGGGCTCAACTTTGGTCAAATCAAAACAGACTGTTCCAAAATCTTAAATTTGCCGCGCAACCGCGTTATCTGTTATCGGCCATAAATGTTATCGAACAGATACAGACTGGAATTATCGGCAAAGTTATGGGCAACCCTAATGGCAACAGGACAGGCATTTGGCAACACTGTTCGATCAATTGGGACGAAAAATGTTTACAAAATGCATTAATTGTTGTGCTCCAATAATTATTTGTATAATATTTACATGCCTTTTGGTCGAAAACTGTGGCAAGTACCGAGCTTAACATATTCATAATGTTCTCCATTGAAATAACGATCCGATTGTACCCAACAGTCGCCCTGAAACGCACGCTGCGCCACTACGAGATTTTCCACAGAGATGATGTTGTACATCGGATTGTCAAGAGGGGCGTTAAACAGAGCAATAATCCATATAACACCATTAAGGAGCTGGAGTTTAAAACACTTGGTAAAAACTTTCGCGTGATTTTACACCCGCATCGCGATGTGCTCCACAGCAAATTTCGTGCGTATGCCGTGGACGCCGATGGAAACGAAACTGTTGTGCACTTGGGTAAGTTATTAAATAGTTGCTTTATATTATTACATTCCTATTTTTACTACCAGATCATGACAGCTTCTATACGGGTCGCGTCTTTGGCGAACTGGAGTCGTCGGTGCGCGCACATATCGAGGATGGCACATTGACCATGTCCATTGAACTGCCCCAAGAAACCTACCACATTGAGCCTTCCTGGCGCCACTTGCCGACAGCCAAAAAGCACACAATGGTCGCCTACAAATCTTCCGATGTCAAACTCAATCACGCCGAAACGGGCTCGTCGGTGCCCAAAACGTGTGGCTACATCAAAGAAGGCCGCGAGCTCGAGGCCAAGGATAATAATGAGCTGAGCGTGCGCGACAAGCGTCAGGCGGATCAGTACGAGTATACGCCCACCAAAACGCGCTGTCCATTGCTGCTGGTGGCCGACTATCGTTTCTTTCAGGAAATGGGCGGTGGCAATACAAAGACAACCATCAATTACCTGGTAAGGGAAGCACTGACATATCCAGTGGAAACCAATTATTGCCATGGTTTCTCTTTCTCCCTAGATAAGCCTTATAGATCGTGTGCATAAGATTTACAATGATACGGTATGGCAGGATCGGTCCGACCAGGAGGGCTTCAAGGGCATGGGCTTTGTGATCAAGAAAATCGTTGTCCACTCGGAGCCGACGCGTTTGCGTGGCGGCGAGGCTCACTACAATATGATACGCGAAAAATGGGATGTGCGCAATCTGCTCGAGGTGAGTCTCATGTTGATTCCAATTGTTTTGCCTATTCCATCTAGCGTATGCATAGCTAAATCTAGTTCATCTAACTGCTAACTGTCTCTCGTCTCTTGCCAATTTATATTCGTTCATCATTTATGTAGGTCTTCTCACGGGAATACAGCCATAAAGACTTTTGCTTAGCTCATCTCTTTACCGATCTCAAATTCGAAGGCGGCATTTTAGGCTTGGCTTACGTTGGCTCCCCACGCCGCAATTCTGTGGGTGGCATCTGTACACCAGGTTGCTAATTCCCACACACAATTAAACAAAAAATCAAACATGTTTTATTGTTATCATTTCGCTTACCCTTGTGTTGTTTCCTTTCTGTTTTGTAGCCGTCGTGTTCAGTTTGTTTTACTTTACACCCTTGCAGAGAATACGATTATAATTTGTCATGGAATGTGCAAGGCGACATCTCCGATGCCATAAGGTATATATACATATATACATGCTCGATCTGGACGACGAGCTGAGTTGATAACATATATTTGTCAGTTTCTATGCGATCCCTTAAAACAATTCTCAAACCTTGTTTCCAGGTTTTGAAATGATTCAATTCTTAATTTATAAAAATTATATATCCTGCATATTTTCCTATAGAAGTTGATCTCTAATTAATATTTACATCTTGCAAATATTTGTATAATTTAAAAAAAAAGGAGCCCCAAGTTATTCTCGGGTTGAATCTTCTACAAAAGTTGTCTTCCATTGAAAACTGTTCTGTTTGAGATTTGTTAACCAAATCCCAAAGAAAACTATTTACGATCTTTATCATAGTTATAAAAATATACCAGAAAATGTTGTCTATGTATGTCTGCAAGGGTTTTTAATTTTGGCCTGTTTATATTTCTAAGGAATTTTGACTGATTCGTCCCATTTTTGTTTGACTATCTCAAGAATACTTCAAAAATGGGTATACACTCTACCTGAACTCGGGCCTGAGCAGCTCGCGCAATCATTACGGCCAGCGTGTGATAACGCGCGAGGCCGATCTGGTAACAGCGCACGAATTTGGACACAATTGGGGCTCGGAGCATGATCCCGATATACCCGAATGCTCACCTAGTGCCTCGCAGGGTGGCAGTTTTCTAATGTACACCTATTCCGTAAGCGGCTATGATGTCAACAACAAGGTAAAGTCAAGCAGCTGACTATTTAATCCAGTTCCATTAAATAATGCCATTACTTGTAGAAATTTTCGCCCTGCTCCTTGCGCTCTATACGCAAAGTACTGCAGGCCAAGTCCGGCCGCTGCTTCTCGGAGCCGGAGGAATCCTTCTGTGGCAATTTACGCGTTGAGGGCGACGAACAGTGCGATGCCGGCCTGCTTGGCACCGAGGACAATGACTCGTGCTGCGACAAGAACTGCAAGCTGCGCCGCAATCAGGGCGCCATGTGCAGCGACAAGAATTCGCCGTGCTGCCAGAACTGCCAGTTTATGCCGGCGGCAATGAAGTGCCGCGAGGCGCAGTATGCCACCTGTGAGCAGGAGGCGCGCTGCACGGGCTCCCATGCCGAGTGCCCCAAATCGCCGGCAATGTCCGATGGCACCATTTGCCAGGAGCGCGGCCAGTGTCGCAATGGCAAATGTGTACCATACTGCGAGACGCAGGGACTCCAGAGCTGCATGTGCGACATCATAGCGGATGCGTGCAAGCGATGCTGTCGCATGAGCATCAACGAGACATGCTTCCCAGTGGAGCCGCCCGATGTGCTGCCCGACGGCACGCCCTGCATAACGGGCTTCTGCAACAAGGTCTCTCTCCCACTTTGGACACTGATCTATATCAAAATATTTATATATATATATCTATTCTCATGCAGGGCGTGTGCGAGAAGACAATACAGGATGTCGTCGAGCGTTTTTGGGACATTATTGAGGAGATAAATGTGGCCAAGACATTGCGTTTTCTCAAGGACAACATTGTCAGTAAGTAAACGGCCTCAAAATCATATACAAAGATCTTAGTGAAAATTAATTTGCGAGCTGATCTCGCACTTCATGGCAAAGCCACATCTACTTGGTGGAAATGGTGGTGGGAGACACGTTATCTAAAACTTAAATCAAAAAAGGAATATCTCGACTATAGCTTAATAATATTTTTGTGCTCTTGCAGTGGCCGTTGTGATGGTGACCGCCGTCTTCTGGATACCCGTCAGCTGCGCCATCTCATACTTTGATCGCAAGAAGCTGCGCCTCGAGATGAAACAAATCGAGTGGAGTCACAAACTAGATCTCATACATCCCAGTGACGACAGGCGTCGTGTTATACACATACGGTAGGAGTAGCTCGAATAAACAAATGTATTGTATACATATAATATATTATGTATTTGCAGCGTACCGCGACAGAAGATTTCGGTGGCGCGTGCTTGTAATTAGCATAGAATCGGGTGGCGGCCATTGTTTTATCTTCCGTGAGCATTCTTCTCAAAACTGCCACAATTATTTTATATTAAGCATAACATTTAATAATACCTAACATAATGAATAAAATTCCCGATAATATAGACCAATTCAAAGGGGGATTCAGAGAGAATCAGATCACAAGTCTGAGAATTTTGAGAGATTTCAAATAATTATCTCGTATCAGTTGTACATTTCTCCAGTCTAGATAGAACTGAAACTAATTTATTAATTAATTGTCTATGATTTGTTTTAGATTGTTTTAGTTTATTCATACTTTAGCAAAAATATGTTTCGTTTCAGGAGTTCTTCTACTGCCATACTGTTAATAATTATGATTGATTTTTCTTTTATATTCTGTTTGTAGATTTAGCTTACTGGTTGTGTGTTAACATTTGTATTACTTCTTTTTTATGCTCTTGCCATTTGTCTGTGGCGAGCAATCGTCATCCAGCTCCAATTCGCTGTCATCCTCGTCGTCCGAATACTCCTCGTACATTTGGCCATCGTCGTATTCACCCAAGTTCATCTCCGCCTGCCGAGAAATGTGTTCAAATTGTAGATCAAATCATTCATCTAAGGGGAGCATCATTTACCTTGCCGCAGACATAGACCGGCCCCGTGCCCTGGACCAGTTTGAATGTGACGGAACCATTGGGGAATTCAACATTTGGCCTCAAACTGCGAGTTTCGCCAACCTTTAAGACCGCTATGGGAATTTTGACTGTCTTCTTCTCGCCGTCATCGTGTACGTTGGTTTCCGCCTGAAAAGTAATTTGTTATGCGATATGAGTACTAATAGAGCCCCAACCCCTGTCCCCCCTGCTGTCCCTTGACCGAGTGCTTGTCGGTGTTTTTCCACTTGAAAATTGTTTATGTACATACCTGTACAACATTGAATTCGCCCGATTTTGCCTCAGGTCCGAGTGATATCTGTTTAATGATCAGCTTGTGTGAGTGTACTATGTACTCCTCTGGTATTTCCGGCACATCAAACTGTGCAATTGGCTCTTTTTCGCTCAGCGTAACACCTGAAACCGGGGGGGATATAATTGTTAATATTGCCGTTATTAATAAATATAGTTAGCCGGCGTTGCCCCAAAAGCAGACACTTGTATCCTGTACTGCCGTGGCAAGATTCAACAATGTTGGTTGCTGCTCACCATAAAAAGATTCGGACTCCATTTGTATGCTCGAGGAAAGGCTCTTGTACAGTCCAATTAAAGAGTTTATGAAAACTTGTACTTTTCACACGTGCCCGTACAATGGCGATAGCTGAAGAGACAAATGCGGTAGAAATGATGCTAGACATTCATCGATGATACCGATTAATTCAACCGCCGATAGTACTCGACAATGCAAATTATGAAAAGAAATGAAAAGCCTAAAAATATAAACGTTTCACTGCAAATGATAAACATACAAGGAATATATGCTCTTAGCTTGGTCTTAAGTTTAATTAACTTCATTTAACAATTAATCGTTAACGATTATTGGATTCGTAGTTAATGTCGTTACATCTGGTAACGCCAGGCGTGCATAGCCAACACATCTCTAACTTGCGTTGCATCCCTAGTTGGTAGCTACCATTTTGCAAAAGTTTTTGCTCAACACGTGCTCGGCGCTTGAATTTTAGATTTAAAACTATATCAAATAATTGCGATGGCAGAGGAATCATTCTATGGTAAGTATTAATTTTTGGCGCGCCAATTGTGCACTGTGGTAGCCGCAGAAAATGGGTTTATTTGCGGTGCGCTGGCCGTGTGCCGGCTGCCGGCATTTTTATTCAAGGTTGCGTGTGTCTGTATGTGCTTTTATCGTATGCATACAGAAGCATACAATGTATCTGTGTGGTTAAGCGTATAAGTGGTTGTATTTTTATTTTATCAATTCACAAGTAATACGTTTGATTTTCAGGTGTTACCCTAACCGCAGAAAACAACAGCGTCACCTGGGACGTTGTCGCCGATGAGGATTATGCACGAGGCCAGAAGCTGGTCATCAAGCAAATCCTGCTGGGCGCCGAGGCAAAGGATAATGAGTTCAACGTGGTCGAGGTAAGTGCGCCAGTCAAGTTTGTCTGTGTTTCTGTGTGTGTGTGTGTGTGTGTGTCTGTGCGTGCTGTAGTGTGTGTGCAAAACTCTTATTGTCGCCTGAGCATGGACCGGTTTGCATTCTCCAAGCACGCGCAAGGGTAATTTTGTCTGTATCTGAAGTACGCGCCCTTTGTCTGTTACCGCCGCTGCTCTTCAGTGTGCACATGTATATGTGACGTCACAAAATGCCCAACAGTCTGCTTTACATATGCTAAAGCTTCACATACGCCAGCCAAGCAAATATGGTAAAACGAACCAAAGTAAAAATGGTTATGTTTAATTTATATGTATACATAAATTGGCAGACATAATTATAACTATGTTAAAATAAAACTTTAATTAGTCCCATATGAAACGACGTTAATGAAAAACTGTTAAGGTGAAGTGTAGAATAGCATATGTTTGCTGCTCTCTTCACACACATTTAGTTAATCCAACCCCCAACGACGTCTCAAATAGGTTGTAGCTCTTAATACAGGGTATTTGCGAGGCGACTACTTGCGAGTCAAACACTTATTTAACTGTACTAAGCAAAACACTTTTATTGACTCAAGTCGCATGCAATTTGATCGCAGTTATTGTTGCCACCGTTTGCTGTCATTTCTAATAGCTCCGTAAAGCTTTTCGTAAACCAAAACATGCTGCGTGACTTCCTTTGCAGCCGGCAGACAACGCCCGCCGCCGCAATATTCCAATTCCAGCAGATGAGCTCGCAATGCAACAGCTGCAGATCAGCGCGCAAAGATATTAAATTCTGCGGGTTAAAAGTAGGAGTGAACGGCAAATTGAGGTGAATTATTTACGATGTGCCCAAAGTTTCACAGTTAAAAATTGGCAAAAAAAAAAAAATCTGAATAAACAGGCATGTCATCAAGATACTAAAAATTAAAAAGTTAACCGTATCCGATGGCAACACTGTCTTGGAATGTCAACTGTCTTCGACTGAATTGGCAACTCTGGTGCGTAGGTGTACTTACCAGCGCCACTGTCGCATCAATTGAACGAATTTCCGGGCCTTTAATTATCATTAATCTGACCATGCCCAATTGCTCGGTCACGTGAGCGACACTTGTCGTTTTCAAATATTCGGCAGCCGTATAATCCACGTTGCCCTTCAGCTCCGCCAGGCACAGCTCGATGCCATTGTGCTGTTTTGGCAAGGTAAATAAAATTCAATTGAAATTATTGCAAAAAATCATGCTCACCTTTTGCGTTTCGAGCTGAAACTGTGGCGTCATGCTTTTGCCCAGTATGAAGAGGGCGTTGATAGCCATGCCCACCAGCATGCCGTACTCCAAAGACCAGAACAAACAGCTCAAAGCGGTCGCCACAAAAGGCACCAAGTCGCGTTCTACATATATAGAAAGAGGAGTATAAATAGTAGATAGTCCCGCCTTGAAGATAAATGGGGTCTTACTTTTGGCGCGCCAGATCTCGGCTATGGTGTCATACTCCACCATGAACAGCATGGCCGAGATGATGATGGCCGCCAGCGTCGCCTTGGGTATGTAGGCAAAGGTGGAGGTCAGAAAGGCGAGAGTCAGCAGGATTAGGATGCCGGTAAAGGCGCCGCCCAGCGGCGTCTTCACGCCGCTCGCATTGTTAATCGCGGAGCGGGCAAACGAACCCGTTATGGGCATCGAGGAGAAGAAGCTGCTGAAGAGATTGCAGCAGCCCAGCGCAATCATTTCCTGCGAAGCGTCCACAATCTTGCCCTTGGCTGGAATAGCAACAAAATCAAATGCATTTAAATAAAAGAGAGACTTGGCCAGTTACGCACAGAAAGCCTTCGCAATCGAGACGCACTCCAATATGCTCAGCAGAGGAATGGTTGCGACTGCTCCGCCCAAATGCGAGATCATGTCGCCAAAGCTCAGGGGCCGGCCCTCGGCGTCGACTGTGTGAAACGGCGGCGTACGAAAGGGCGGCAGACCCGGCGTTATTTCATCGCTGATGCGAAAGGGCATCTCCTCCTCCGAATCCCGGCTAAGCAGATAGCATAGAAGGATCCCGATTACAACGGCCAGCACGTTGCGGCACAGCGACAAATACTTGGTCAGCTGCCGGCAGCCACATGGCAGATCCTTCAATTTCTGTCGGGATTAAGCTTGGAATTGGGAATCTTTTTGAGTGGAATCTTTACCTACTCGCATGAGGAGCAGCAGAATGAGCGTGCCGCAGCCGAGTATCGCATCGTTGCGTCGCGTCTCCCGAATGTTGCCGAAAAAGTTAATCCACGCGCTGAGAAACTCATTCGATTTGCTTTCTATGCCAAAGAGATTGTTGATCTGGCCGCTGGCGACAGTCAAGGCGGCGGCCAAAGTAAAACCCGCCGTAACTGGCACCGAAATGTAACGCACCAAAACGCCGAGATTCAGTAAGCCCAGCAGCAGGATTATGCAGCCGGACAGGAAGCACATTAAGACGGCAAAGTCCGGATTGCCGGCGACATGCGGATAAATCATCATGGACATAATGGCCGTGGGACCTGAGAAGAACAGAGATTTAGATTAAAGATGAGAAGAGTAAAGGGAAGACAACTCCCAATTCCAGCTAGGACTGTCTGAGGGGATGCAGGAACTTGGTTTATACCCTTTGATCATGGTGGAACTCAAGTGAGCTTTGATATTCCATTTCCTTTTGCTAGCTACTCACCCACTGTGATATCCTTGCAGGTGCCGAATAGAATGTACAGAAAGCAGCCCATAAATGATGAGTAGAGTCCGTAGACGGGCGGCAGTCCGGCCACCGCGCCATACGCAATGCCCTGCGTGACGGCCGTCAGGCCCACAGTCATGCCCGCCACAAAGTCAACAATTAGATATTTCGGCTTATACCGGGGCAGCCAGCTGCAGATGGGTAGCATGCGCTTGAGGGTCGACATGCTGCAGCAGCTGCGCGCCTTTGCGCCCAAAGCGCCGCACACATTCGGCAGGCGCTCGTGATAGAGTTCATCTGCGAGGCAAAAGTACTTGAGCTTGATTAAAAACAAACACACACAAGTGATTAGCCAGCCTCTTATCTAGTTGTCCATGTTCTTAGATTGCTTATTGCTTTTCACTTCAAGCGTGTTCTCAAGTGTTGCGACTACAAGTCTTACCTTGCTGCGTCACAAATTAAAGATCTCTAGAGATAGATATAGGCTTTGCCTATATATTATCGAAATGTAGAATCTGTAGAATTCCATTGTGATAGCTGTGTCAATGTACTCTCTTGAAGAGAATATATGAACAATTGTTTTAAAGAGATATATTCCTTAATTATTTCGATAAAATACTGTTAAGATCTCTAGAGATAGCTATAGGATTTACTTATAGTTCAAATGGGAATCATCTGTAGAAAATATATCCATAATTGATTTCGATTTAAGGAGATATATTACTTTATTATTTCGATTAAATAATGTTAAAGCCATATTTAATATTAACTAAGAAATATCTCTGAAGTTTAATAGTTTATTCCTTGTTAATTTTAATCATCTCTCAAAGACATTTTACTTCTCAATGCACTTTTATTGATTCCAAAGAAAGTTGTCTATTATAACATATAATTGGATTTCTAGTTAGTTTTTACCTTGTGGCTGCGTCACAAATTAAAGATCTCTAGATCTAGATATAGGCTTTACTTATAGTATCAAAATATTTTCGAACTGCTTAGATGGGAATCATGGATAGAAATTCCTTTTAATTGGATTTCTATTTACATGTCCATTAAGGAATTCACTTATCAATTATTGGAACGTACCGTCATAGTCGCACATGTCTGTGAATAATTTTTGAGTTTCTTTTTTTTTAACACTTCAAACTAAGTGGCTTTTATTTATGATTAACTTTTGTTAAACATAGCACGTGCTTGCCGTTTTTTTCTTTCTTCTCTTAAGTGTGGGCGAGGCTTCAATATAAACTCGGATTTTTTTTGTGGAGCAGCTTGTGATGTTGTCTCTGCGGCTGCAGCTCGTCGAATGGCCCGCCCGGATAGCATTAGCACGCTTTTTACTTTCCCGATTTCCAGTTATCTCCCTTTTTTTCTAGTTTTCTTTAAAATGTGCTGCGATTTTGATCAGTTAAGGCGAGGAGAATAAAGATAGTTAAACCCAAACATTAGACAAATATGCGAGAGCTCTGATTGGGGAGAACTTTTGTCGAAGATTAACTTTGCCTTCCAGAATTTTTGAAATGTATGTTTTACCCGATTGTTCATATGACCCTCAGGAGTCTGATATTATTAAGAATTGGGAACAAAATGTTTAAACTGATCAAGGATCTATAATATACTTAACAGGATCCGATCGCAACATTAAATAATGCCCCACCGAATGATCGAATTGAATGTTTATTTGGCGTCTCTTTAAGCACATTCCCCACCCGCATCAATTTTGTGATTAACTAATCATATATCTCGACAAATTTCTCGTTTATTTTGTTGCTGGACAGGTGACCACAATGAAGGATTCGGTGCAGATACCGATTGCCGTGCTGAAGGCTGGCGAGACGCGCGCCGTTAATCCCGATGTCGAGTTCTACGAATCGAAGGTGACATTCAAGCTGATTAAGGGCAGCGGACCCGTTTATATACACGGCCAGAACATTAAGGATGATGTTGAGGTCGTTGACATGGAGGAGGAGGATGATGAGGACGATGGCGAGGATGACGAGATCGAGCACCCAAAGAAGCGAGCCAAAATTGAACCGAATGCCGTCGCCGCCGCCGCCGATAGCAAAAATGCCAAGAACCCGAAAAAGAAGTAAACAAAGCCCGAAAAGCAATTCTCTAAGCTAAATCTGTAGATTTTAAAAAAGTGTTTTAGGCCCTAAAAAAACAAACAAAACAATACAATTACAATATTACATACTAACGCTATGTAAAACTACAATTTAGTTCCTTTCTCGCGCTCTCAGATCCTCGAAACATTCAATTCACAACTAAAACCAACAACTATGATTATATTGATGATATACGACTAACTAATACCCTATGCAATAAGCCAGAGATATTTCCACAATTAGTCAGCGCTATGTGAAGCACATATTTGTATATAAGTACTTACAATGCGATTTCTCCATTTTATACAAAAACAACAACAAATAAAACAACAACAACAACAACAAACTGTCGTCGGTATACAACAAAAATGAAGGAGAATATTTTCTTTTTAGTTTTAACATTTTTTTTAATGATTACTTATTGTTTCTGCTTTCTGCCTAAATAGAGAGAATTTCATTGGATCGAAAAGGGGGCGAAAACCGTTGCGGGAATGCGTTTAGAAAATTTTGAAAATTCCTTTTTCGTTTGCATCCTTAAAATTGTTGGTTATTCTGGGCTGGGATTTTTGGGCTTAATCGCAGGATGGCATCACATTGAGTCGCTCGAACATGGCCTTCTCCAGGGCTTCGCGATGCTTGGGAGCTGCGATCTGAATTAGTTCGTACGAACGCTGGCGCACATTTTTACCGAACAGCGAGGCGATGCCGTGCTCGGTGACCACGTAGTGTACGTGGGCGCGGGAGGTGACGACGCCGGCGCCTGGAAATCAAATGGGAAGGGATTAGCAAGCATTACGAACTGCTGCTCCGGCTACTGCCGGCCCGTACCTGGCTGAAGCGTGGGCACAATCTTGCTGGCGCCTTTGCTGGTCGTCGATGGCATGGCAATGATGGGCACGCCGAGGCCATCGGTGCCTTCGGCTGCGCCGCGTATAAAGTCCACCTGGCCGCCGAAGCCCGAATAGAAGCGTGTGCCAATCGAATCGGAGCACACCTGACCCGTTAGATCCACCTCAATGCAGCTGTTGATGGCCGTCATGCGCGGCTGCTGCTTCACAATTCCGGTATTGTTTACGTAATCAATGCCCAACATCTCTGTGAACGGGGGATTAGGGATTAGTTAGGATTTACAATAATCGTAGAGAATCGATCTACCGATGAACGGATTGTTGTTGACAAAGTCGTAGAGCGGCTGATCGCCAATCAGGAAGGAGCCGACGATGCGACCCTGATGCATCTTCTTCTTGCTGTTGGTGACGCAGCCCTTCTTGACCAGATCGACAACGCCATTGGCGAACATCTCCGAATGTATGCCCAGATCCTTGTGATTGTGCAGCGCGGCGAGCACTGCATCCGGAATGCTGCCGATGCCCATCTGCAGCGTGGCCCCATCCTTGACCAAATTCTCGGCAATCAGCTGGCCAATTTTCGTCTCGACGGCCGAAATCTTGCCGGTGCCATGTTGCGGCAACTTGTCGTTGACCTCGATGGCAAAGTCAAAGTGCGACTTGTGGATGATGGAATCGCCAAAGGTGCGCGGCATATTCGGATTGATTTGGGCTGAAATCAAAAATGGAATCAATTCACGTACAGATCTCGCTCGACATTCATTTACCAACAATCATCTTCGAGTTGAGCAGCGCGGCACGGACGCAATCGACGCTGGTGCCCAGGCTGCAGTAGCCGTGATTGTCCGGCGGCGAGACATGGATGAGCGCCACGTCCGGCTCGACGATCTTCTTGTAGAACAGCTGCGGTATTTCATGCAGAAATATGGGCACATTGTCGGCCCGTCCCTCGGCGACGGCCTTGCGCACATTCCCGCCCATAAAGAACGAGTTCGAACGGAAGATATCCTGATACTCCGGCTTACAGTACTCGGCCGGTCCCTCCGTGTGCATGTGGCAGACGGTAATATCCTTCAGCTTGTTGCACTTGCCGTACTGCGTCATCGTATTCAGCAGCGTCACCGGAGTGGCAGCTGCGCCCTGTGCGAAAACCGTATCGCCTGGAAAAATGTGCAGCCTATTAATAGGATTTATCCAACTGATTGATTGATTGATGAGCCGGACAGAGCCGGGTAGCTAATATAATATGCCATATGAATATCGGTTACTTTTCTTTTTGGCTGTGTTTACATTTTACAGTTACCTTTTATTAAGCATACCCGAAATCTTTAATAAGCGGTATTTTTTGCACGTGTTAACATATTTTTGGGAATCTAGAGATCGCACGTCAATAGACCGGGCAAAACAAACATTTACAGTGAATTTGAATTTTTTTATTATAGCGAGTATTTACTGTACTTGATATGACTAGTTGACGTCGCAGAGCGTCGGAACGCGCAGCCAACTTATTCACATACGGTATATACTGTATATATACCCATACATATTTGTATGCATATGCATGTGTTTGTGTGTGTGTGTGTGTGTGTGGGGGCATGCCAATAATCTATTTTTATTGCGCCCTACGAATGCAATGTCGTGAAGGCAGCTTCATATATGTATGTATTTATTAATGCACAAAACGGGTGTGCTTGTGTGTGTGTGTGTGTTTGGCAATTAAAAAGTATTTTAAATTAGTTTACATTTAATAATTTTTATGAATGATGTTTGTTTTTCTTATCAATTATGCATAACAGCGTACTTGCCTTATTGGCCAAAAAGTGTTGCATAGAAAACAAAAGCAAAACAAAAGCAAAAAATAGAACTTTTCCAAACGAAATGACGTAGCCGATTTAGTTCGGCGCGTGTTTGTGAATTGATCTAAATTTAGAACGACAGCGCTAACTGTATTAGTACAAGACTCCATTAGATCAAAAATGAAGCTCTTAAAGTGCGAGCTAAAATTCAAAACTAAACATGTAAATAAAAATACATTTTGGGGGCAGGGCTTCGGCTTCTAAACTAGTTTTTATCAAGCTTCATGACATTTTTAAAGAAATTTGCTTTGAGCTCTCTTGCGCAACTGTCGATTGAAATTGATTAAATCAAAGCTAAATTAGCACCAACAATTTAGCAAATTTATTTCGACTGTGGGTCTGTTATCAAAGCTGTGGACCCGCCCACTTGAAAGCAGCCAATAAAATGCTAATTCTCCCCCACGCATCTCTTCTCTGTACAGTCCTCAACTTCTGATGTTATTGCATAATGTCGGACATGCATATATGTACATTAAAACAGTTTTATTATTGTTATGTACATAGATAAGTTGCCCTTATCAGCACAGCTGTCAGCGGGCAGGTTCTAACGGCAATGGCTGCGTTTTAATGTGTGTGTGTGCGTGCGTGCTTGTGCCACTAAGCTCAGCTTTTGACGGGCGCAGCTGGACAGAGTCCAAAGTACAATGTTATTTAACACTGTTTTATTAGAAGGAAAACAATTTGCAGCTGGAGCAAGTCAGAACCTGAAACTTTTAAACCAGTGCTAAAAACAATTACAAAGTACATCTGTATATGTACATATATGTACATATTAGAGAACTTAGCTTTCTGTGATTTTTTTTTCGAGGGTATTTTGCATACGTGGGTGCGCAGAGCTCGTAAATAACTGATAAGTCCACTGTCAGTTCATAGGACTAATCACGGTCAATTGATTTCTTTATGGGGCCTGCTGCCTGAGCACCCTGTAATTGCCCACTTAATATGTTTATGTGCACACACACACAGGCACACGCATGTGTGTAAATAGTTTGGTTTACAAACGCCACAAAATCACACACACGCACAGACGCGCCTTTCATTTGCATTCTTTGAGTGGTCGTCGCCCCCCCCCCCTCCTCCTTCCCTGCGTCTCTTAACCTTTGCTTTGGCGCATTATCATTCTATTGTTCTAAGCAAACAAATTAGGGCAAAGGGCTGAGGGGGGGGGCAATCACGTTAGTGGCTGGCACTTTCAGCGGCAGACATTACATAACACTAAATTTTTGCCATTCTGCGAACGCCGCATACAAATCTGGGTGAAATTATGACGGGAGCAGCGCAGCCGTATCCCAATCCGTATAGCTACTCACCAGATTTAATGCAGGCGACAGCTTCCTCTGGCGACACAATTGGCGGCTCGCGTGGAAGCGGATGCGACAGCTCACGCACATAGGTAAAGTAGTTATTGTGCGTGGAGCCGGCAGCATTCGCCGAGGCGGCGGTGGTCAGCAATTTGTTGACTTGTCTCACATGACGCGACAGTTGCTTGCTCATGATTGCAGTCTAAAACACACAGAGGGGAAACACAGTCTTCTATCTTTTAAGAACGAAAATAGTCGTGGCAGAATATGAATGCGCAGCTACAGTTCAATCTTTGGTTTATTTTGTTCGCACTGGTCTCTCAGTCGGATTCGGTCTATGTCTCACCACTCCAGCGGCGCGATTGCAACTAGCTTTGGCCGAAAGCTTTACCACACCGCAAAAGCTTTCAAAAGCAGCGGTCTCTAAAAACATCGGCGTGTTTAGTTAACTAAGTACATATGGAATTTTGACTGTCCAACTATATGTATTTCTTCTTATATGAATGTAACATTGTAAGTTTCTCACAGCAGTAAAGCATATTTTCTTAAACATATATAAATTTTTTTTTAATAATTTTTGCTGACATTTAGTGCTCAGCGAAATACTGACGTTGCACAACACTCAACATATTTCCGGGCGAATGCCCAACAGTTGCCCGCTAATATTCAAAATTCAAACAAATCTGGCCACACGCTTGTAATAATCTGATGACAAATAGAACTATTTCGTGACATTATTAAGATAAACACTCTTTAATTGTATTTAATTAGCGTTTAATATATATTATTTTTCGTTCAGTTATAGTTGACAAAACCCTAATAGATAAAAGCGCCTTGGACTAACAGTTAAAAATAACAAATTACGTACATAATCGTAATACTTAAACATTAAGAGAACTTATGTGAAAATCTATACAACAAAGGTTTACTATTTACATGCTTTACCAATATATCATAGACAATATATCTATATCTGAAGAGTTTTATCATCTGTTTTCCATATATATGTCCGATTTACTATGACTATTTGACTAGTTTATGCGTTATGGTCTGTTGCTAAACTTGACTTTCTTAATGCTTTCGGCACAATCTGGGGTTTTTTTTTGCTCCGAATATTTATATATATAGATAGATATATAGTAGGACTGATCTCGCGTTAGTTTGATGGAAATAGTTCGGTCTTTAACATTGGACGGAACTCAAACAATAAATGAAAGTTTTTTAAATCTGACTAGAGGCTAAACAAATTGTGCAGCTTTTTTTAGAATAAGTTCTCCTGTTCCGATTTTGTTATAAATATATATGTATAAAAATTGCATATAATGCACAATTTTGCGTTGATTGCGATTTCGAGTAGTTTCAGATGTTTTCTAATAATAATTGTAGCTATTTATATATATATATATATAGTATATATTCGAGCAGCTACTTAACTACAAGCTAATATATATATATTAACTAGTTTAGCCAGTTTTTGGCTTAGTTTTTTTTGCTTTTGGTTTTTGGTGTTCGGCTCTATCTCGTGGGCAGGGTCATGTTGAGGCAGAGCTCGTGATCGCGCAGATCGCCCCAGCCGCCGTTGCCCTTGCGCAGCTTGGATTTCTTGATCAGGCTGGGCACGGTCATCATCAGGGAGCGCGGGAACAGCTGATGGGAGTTGCGCGCGATGCGCAGCACATGCTGCACCTTGGAGATCACCTGATTCGACTCGCAGTTCTTGTTCTTGTGATGGACGCCGCTGCAAAATTGAACAAATTAGCTCATAGAGATCCTTATGTGGATTGGTTACTCACCACTCGCCGATGTGAAAGACCCGCGGTCCCTTGACTATCATCGCGTGCAGCTTGCGCTGCAGACACTGCTGGGAGACGTGCTGCAGCGACCAGTCCCAGTTGTAGTCGTCGTAGGTGCAAAAGTGCCGGGCACAGCGCCGGATGCTCGTCCAGGTGGTCCGATTGAAGGCGAAGCCCATGTTGTGCTTGCTGCTAATCCACGGCATTGACTCCACCTGGCGGACCAAATTTGAAACGCGCAATCAGTTGGAATTTACAATCAGTTCAAATTTACAGGGGTTAAACAGCGAACAGTGGGACAAAAATGGGTTGTGAGCATGCAAATTTTTGTAAGGTTATCAAAACGAGCCAAGAAATTGTAAAATATTAAAAAATTGATCACGATTAAGTTAAAAGTTTTCAATTTGTTGAGTTAAGCAAAATAATTCATGTCCTGCTAAATGGGCCCAATACACTGTACATCAGAGAGCAAAAGAAATCGCGGAGTTGCCAGACTTTAATGCGAGATGCATGGTGCATGAGACCCCCTAATGACGGTTAATGGTTAAATTTGTTCAATTTGCTTTTAATTTGGTGAATTTGTGACGCAACAAGTTCTTCTAAACTGGCCCAATACACTGCACATCAGTGAGCGAACATTGCGTATGTACACCTTGATGCACGGTGCAAGAGGCCTCTAGGCAATTTTAATTCTTAGAAAAAAACTCGGTTAATAAATGTTTATACAGCGCTTCTACCTTGCGATAGTCTTGGACGATGCTGTGCCTATCGAGCTTGTCGGTACGTACGCGGGCGCGCAGCTGTGTGTTTTGCATGCGTTCGTGTGAGGGAGGCGATTGTAACGGTTTATCGGCATGCCAAAACAGAGACAAAGAGAGAGACGCACACACACACACACACAACATAAGGAGAAACAAGAACAGTAACGGTAAGTAAACAAAATAAAGCAACAACACATTTACATGCGATTAGCCAAAGCAGTTGGGGTAGAGTATACGGGCGGGTAGCATGCCAACAAGTGTCCTTTTGCGACACACTATGTACAAAAGCAAAATGAAAAATTTGATAAATAACAAAAAACTGTGCTCTACTATGATCGGAGGTGCTAGATTTTGTTTTTCTTAATTTAAAAATATGAAAGATATTTTTGCTGTCGATGGTGCGCTACCTTCTGATAGACGGAATACAATGACGGCAGGACATGATAGTTCCATGTTTGTGCACCATTTTTATTATTATTATTATTGTTGTTATTATTGCTATTAACATTATTTGTGTTGGATGCGGCGGTGACAGTGTTCATGTGGCTACTTTTTTTGTTGTTAATATTTTTCTTGATTTTATTATTGTTGTTATTTGTGTCGCCCACAAAGACTTTGGCGCTCTTTAATGAAGTGCTGGATGACTGCAGTGAGTTTCTATTGTTGTTATTATTGTTATTATTATTATTATTATGGTAATTATTGTTCCTATTCGATCCTAATAGACTGTTTGACGAGATCGGCGAGGAAGCGTACGATTTTTTGTTAGTCTGCACGAAGTAGAGAAGAACGCAGAAAGATATGATTTTTTTTTATGTAGATACAAATGCGGGTGTGTTTAAAAGAGTAGAAAATAAAGGCGCAATAATTAAATGGCATAACATACATATGTACAACATACATATTTAAAGGCGCGTCAACAATCGCCAGATGCGTTACAGACAGATGTAAATAGTATGAACACAGCTATGTATGTATGTATGTATGCATGTACGAGTATGTATGCAACTGTAACATGTATAAGTTAGGAACAGTAAAAGCTCTACTATTTCCAATTGGAATTTGATATGGCCATTGATCATCTCAATAACAAGCAATAACAGCCCTGTTTTGTGGCCGACTTTGTCGTTTTTAACACTGGTTTCAGCTGCTTTTTTGAAGCGGCAGTTGAGAGCACTGCGCGATTAACGGATATTTCCCGCTTCTATTTAAATTGCAAATTAACCATTCTTGCATACAATATCGGACAACAATATGAAATCTTACAACGATAATTTAAAATTTGATTTGATTCAAGTTAAATTTGAAAAAATTGGAAAACATACTTTTAACATACTATAAAATGTTAAGCATATTTATATGTTTTCCTTAGCGAGCTTTCACTGTAACAAAGGCGGGACTATGATCTATGTACTATAAAGCCCTAGTGCTGAGTTGTTTTAGGTAGGATGTGTTCGTTAATAACATTTAAATTGGCAGAAGCGATTGACATTTGCTTTTGTTAAAAGACATAAATTGAATATATATTGTATTTGAAGCAGTTTTCGCTTATTGGACGACTAAACGACGTAGCCAGGCATCTCACCTTGCTGTGGTACGTATAATAGTTGAATGTCTTTAGATAGGTGCCCAGCGAGAGGATGTTGCACTGCGGGCACAAGTCTTTGGTGCGCTGCTGCATCATGGCCAGCAGATAGAGAAAGTCCTCGGCCACATAGTGATCCTCCTCCAGGAACAAAACGAGACCTGCAAAAAATGCAAATATATTAATGTTGTGTTCTTTACAGGCGTGGCCATAACTAACCCGTGTGAAACCGGGTAACCTCGAGCTCGTTGAAGACACGGTTCGACTTCCACCACCAATGATGCTTGGTCTGCGTGAACTTGGCCTCGCGATAATGGCCATAGAGATCCGGATAGAGTGCGTTGTTGCAGTTGCTGATCAAAGCTCTAAAAGGGTAAATTGAATGAATATGGATACAACTTCCTGGTCAGATGTACTCACTGCTCCTTCTTGATGTTCCTGGGACAGTCGTTGGGATCGAGGCCGGGATACTCGTGCGGATGCGTTTGCATCGAGTACGGATAGAATATCTGCATAACCTTGCAGAAATCAATTTGCTGCACCAAATCGTTGATGTCGTCGTCGTAAAAGTCATGCGAGAATATCAGCAAGGATTTGGAAATGTCCCGTGCCTGCGCCAGGCTGACAATCAGATGGCGCAAATAATTGATGCGCGTGTGCACCTGCGAGTAAGAAATGTTTCTAGCAACAATGCAACAAACGGAGAGCCAGAAAACAGACGTCCACGCACCTGTATGACAATTATCACAGAATCGTTTTGCAGCGGACCAAATGTATCCTCGTTCAGCACCAGCTGCAGCTCGTTGTATCTGACAATCTGACGCTTGATCTCCGTAATGTTGGGCGGACGATATGCCTCAAAGTTGATCGTAGTCGCCGCCGCCGCCGCCGAAATGCCGGAGCTGCTTAGACCGGAGACGCTGCTGTTCAGCTGGAGCACTGCAGGGAAAGCAAAATAGGATCAATATGGATTCGAAGAAGCTATCAATCAATCTCACCTGTTGCCGTCGCGCTGTGATTGCGCGTGTGTGGCGTCAGATATTTGTGAAGCGGAGCTGGGACCATGGACAATATCGCATCCGTCGAATCATTGGTCACCGCATCGCCAAGCATCGCATCCCGGCTGTCCACTAGCAAGTAATCATTAATTATTATTAATAATTGCAATAAATATCATTTAAATTGTCTCTTACGGTAGTTGAAGTTGTGATACTGCAGCAGACCGAAGATGCACAGCGCCAGAATGAAGACGCTGCGCATATAAAAATTGTTGCGCTTGCGTCCCATTGCGCCCGTATTGGGCAGCGGTATCAGTACACGGCCTGCAGGATGTACATATAGTCAAGTTAATTAAAGTGCCACGAATTAGTAGGCCAGGTTAGAGGAATAGTTTACCTCTCATTTTCGACATTTTTTCGACTTCGAGTTGCTAGCAAATGCCTACTAGGCACGCTCTTTTATGGCGCCATCTGAAAAAGCACAATTGATAACGAGATGTTTATTGAGATAAAAATGTACAGTAGAAGATCGCTAAAGTGAACTTGAAATAGATTTGTTCTAGACGAGGCTGCCCGACTGGGAAGTAGCCCGAATTCAGCGCCAAGTCGACTTTACATTCGTTTTAGCTTCCTTCTAGGTCCCCTCCATAGGAGGAATAAGATACAAATGTACAGTAAAAACACTTTAGAGTGAACTTAAACTGAATTTGCTCTTGACGAGCCTGCCCGACTGGGATGTAGCCCGAGAATTCACCGCCAAGGAGGAGCTACAATCGTTCCAGCTTCTTTGTAAGGCCCCTTACTAGGAGAAATTCATTCCGATTAACTTCGGTCTTTATAGTCCGATTTTTACGAAATTTCATTCTGAATTTACTTCGTTGTTTATGATCCGATTTTAATGAAATTTTCAGGGCATACGTATGACATCCAAGTGTGTCTAACTTCCACAGCTGAGCAGGCGGAACAGGGCCAGAAATGAGATATCCTGCATTTGCCTAATTGAGCATAGCTCGTATGCTCTCAAAATCGATATATATCGATATATGATATATCATGAAAAGGAAATATTTTATATATGTCAAATTTGTAGTCTCTAGCTCTTGTAATGCCCAAAAATTCTCTCCTTTAAACAGACAAACGTGATCTGATCAGATCGTTGTTCCGATCGAGTATATATATATATATATTTTTTATGGATTCGGATATGATAACTTCTGCCTGTTACATACATTTTCACACAAAACATTTCGCCCTTTTTGCCCATTTTCTTATCATTTTTCATAGAACTGTGAAAACAATTATTTGCAATGTTTTATTTAACGCGTTTCGCATTTCTAAATAATTGCATTTTGCGACTGTTTACGACTGCGAATGGAAACTGGCAACGCAATTCGCTAATTCTCAAGCGACTTTGGATAATAGAAACTGCACTCGTAAAATTCGTTAAATGTGGACACGGCTGCGAGCGGGGCTGCGTTTGGAGTCTCGAGGTTGACTTGGAACTCGGCTGGTGGAAGGGGACAATGGAACCGAAGGGGGGGGGCACATCTCGGCCTCCTAGCGACACGTAGCCAATGCGTGCGCTGTCATTTGGGCCCCTCCCGGGGGGGATTACCCGCCCATCCGTCCGGCTGTCCGTCCGGCTGTCCGTCTTGTCCGTCCGACTCGTCCGCTTGTAATGTGGGCGATCGCGCGGCCTCGCGTAAATTGGCATAAAAATAGAATATTATTTGGCGAGAGTGCGACATCTGACAAAAAAATGATTTCATTTCTTAGCAAGTGTCAAATAGAAAAGAATCTAAATGCAGTTAAGACGAAAAAATATAGATTTACTCAGCGAAAAATATATATAAAAAAAAATAAATAAATTTATAATTTATGTAAGATCACCCTATATATATATATATATATATATATATATAAATTTAAATTTATTTTTTTTTTTTTAAATTAACTGATGAAATTTTTACTGCAAGAAGTTAGCTTAGACGATTTTTTTAATTTCACCCGCAAGCGTGGAAAAATAGCGGAAAACGATTGTGTAAAACCTATTTGTTTTCAATTCGATCGATCTGGAAAACGTTTTTAAACATTTTTGTTCAAATTCACATTAGAGATGTTTCACATTTTTCTCCAAATCCACCATCTTGAGGGAAAATGCGGGTGAAGGCGGTTTTTCGTTTTATTTCCAATTCCACGCAACTTCGACTACAAATAAGGATATACTTATAGAGATATATATATATACATAGTGCTCTTATGTCTTATTTAATGAAATATTTACTGTAAGTAGTCAACTTATTTTTTTTTAATTTCACCCGCAAGTGTGGAACAAAAGCGGAAAATGATTTTATAAATCCTATTTATTTTCTATTCGATCGATCTGAAAATAGTTTTTAACATTTTTCGTTCAAATTCACATTAGAGATGTTTAACATTTTTCGCCAAATCCGCCATCTTGAGGGAAAACCAACGCGGTTTTTCGTTTTATTTCCAATTCCACGCAACTTCCACTACAAATTAGGATATACTTATAGAGATATGTATAATACATATATATGGGATGCTCTTTTATATATTTAAAATGAAATTATGAAATATTTACTGTAAGTAGTTAACTTTTTTTTTTTTTTTAATTTCACCCGCAAGAGTGAAACAAAAGCGAAAAATGATTTTATAAATCCTATATATTTTCCATTAGATAGATCTGAAAATAGTTTATTTAAATTCACTTGAAAGATGTTTCACATTTTTCACAAAATCCGCCCTCTTGAGCGAAAATGCGTGTCAGCGAGGTTTTCCCTGTTGTCCGCTCGTCTTCAGCTTATTTTCAAAGCTCTGCATAAAAACCATAAGTAAAACGTTTTTCGGTGATTTTCGAAATTCCACCCAACTTCCACGACAATTTTTGTTATTTAACATCCGATTGGCTTCAAAGTTCTTTGTGAAAATTGCATTTGACAAAATAAATGAAAATGATTAAAATGAAAAATACGCCCCTCATGAATGCATTATATATGTGTTTATCATCTATAGATGATACTCTATAGATAAACAGATCAGGGTATGCGAGGCTTAACTGTACAGAGATCACCTTAAGCCGTACAAATAAATGAGAAACAATCGAAGATCAAAATTACTCTAAATCTAACTGATTATTTATGATGATTCAGTAATTCGATAGAGCCGACTTTGAATACCCTCTGCAAATAACTCCCTTTGCTTGAGCCTCTCCTACAATTAAGTATTAAGTTATATTCCCGAAATCGATTTATTACAATATTTTGTCGATAAAAGTGCGCCTATTAAAGCTGATGATAAGCAGGCATATCTGGAGCGCATTAAATAAATCAAATAAGTGGCAATAAAAATGCGTTTGCTCATTAACAATGAGCTCTAATTGATTTTCCCTTAAATGTCATGGCAACATTTTACATATATATTCTACGAATGACAAAACAATGGAAAGTATTTTCGTTTAATGAGAGAAACGAATTTCCATAAATAAATAGAGCAGGTCGCAAAGCTTGAGGCTTGAGGCAACTCCGCCCCGGAAATGGGCCTCGCGTTTGACTTTGAATTTGAACTTTAGACATCGATTAAAGATTAAAGCGAGTAAAAGATATTTCAGTTCAAAGTGACAGACTAGGAAATACCGTGTAACCAGTTTTTTGAAACAAATATATTTTGAACTATCACGTATCAAATAAATTCTCTCAGAGATCTTTGAAAATGATTTTGAAACCGATCGGAAAGTAGACAAAAAACTTTCATACAAACGTTTTCCGCCAATTTACCACAGTTGCGGGTGGAATTCCATTGAGTTCTTAAGAGGGATTTGAAAATAAGTTTGAAGCCAATCGGACAAAACTTAAAACTTTAACAAAAAATATCTCTGAATCGCATTTAAACCAAGAAAGCTTGGGTTCTGTAAAAAGTGTGAAACTTGTCTCAAATGATTTTCCACATAGATCCTAAAAAATAAATTTGAATACGAATCTCCACCCACCAAATCTTTGACCCCTCATTTCCACCAAGGAGGAATGTATTTTTCGAAAATGAATTTAAACAAAGATCTTTGAAAATTAGTTTGAGGCTATCGGGTGGCTAACAAAAAAGTTGTATACAAACGTTTTCGCGATTTTTCCACACATGCGGGTGGAATTTTCTGAAACCCCGTCTTAACGTGCATCTACATCACATAAGGTAAATACAGTGAAAATTTCCGCTTCCTAGCTCTTACGGATTGGGCTGTGCGTTGATCACCAATCAGTCAATAAGTCAGTCAATCAGTCAGTCAGTCAATAAGTCAGTCAGACAGTCAATCAGTCTGTTAATAAGTCAGTCAGTCAATAAGTCATTCAGTCAGTCGGTTACTAAGTCAGTCAATCATTCAACAAGTCAGTCAATTTGTTAATCAAATAGTCAGTCAATCAGTTATTAAATCAGTCAGTCATTCAATAAATCAATCAGTCAGTAAATCAGTCAATAAGTCAGTCAATCAGTCAATCAATCAGCCAGTCAGTCAGTCAGTCAATCAATACGTCAATCAGTCAGTCAGGACAAACAGTTTCATATATAGAGATAACCAGCTTCAGCTAGCTTACATCAAAATGTAGGCTTGTTATCGATATTTATCGATACTGAGTATATCCTTTTCTGCTAGAAATCTCGTGAATGCAGTAAACTATATTTACCGTCCGAAACAATGCTCGAAAATAAATCCGTAACTGCCGCCTGTTACAAACCTACATGCAAAATCGACATACCCGCTGCTGCACACATTTTTAAAGGGTATACAGGGTAGACAAAAAACAAAATACGCGAAAGTGCAGGCGTACTCAAAGAAATCGGACGTTGTGCTCGAAGGTGTCGTCCAGTGTGTTGGCGGAGAGGGTAGAGAGAGGGGGGGGAGGGGTGAATTCAGGTGGAACAGGTATGTATTTATTTATTTATTTACTGTTTGGCTGTTACGAAATCTGAGCGACATACAAAGCGGCCAAAATGGTCGCACAAAAGCGAAAAACAACAAAAACTTTTGTTGTTGTTCGCATTTTGGTGCTAATTTATTGAGAATAAATGTTAAGCGGAAGGTGATTTGGCTTATAGTACCTTTGGCTAAATTTGCAAGTGCGCAATGTTTTCGTTTGTGCCTCCGCCTCGTCTGTGGTCGGCATCGTTGGTCAATCGATTTTTCAGACGCCCCAAGTCCAAGTTAATTTTTTAGCCTAACGGCAGCATTTCAATTGTTGTCGTTGCGTAGTCAATTTGTGGCATTTTGCAAAAGTTGCTTGATTTATGCACTCAATTGGTTAATTACTTAAATCGCTTTTGTTATTGTTGCGCGCGCGTCTTTCGGCTGAGATTCGTGCAATTTCTATACACATACATGCTGGCAGCTGCGGCTGCTGCGCTAACACACACACAGATGCACAGCACACACATATGTGCGATTATCTTATTGCCTCATCTCAGTTTTGATTAGGCAGGCCAATATATGTTTTATACAAATTATCTATTCACTTTTGATCTCATCACTTCACTTTTCGCTTTCTTTTGAAATACAGCAACAAATTTCACGGATTTTCGACCGCTGCTCGCAAATGTATCTTACGGTGCGCTCTCACAACTGAAAGTTGAAACGAAAACAGCTGGGCTGCCTAGAGAGTGATGACAAATAGAGTGACCATATTTGTGGTGAATTTATTTGTTATCGGATTCTATCGAGTACACTTCTGTTGCCAGTGCTGTTAAGTTTGGCTAAAATTCGGAGATATATATAAATGATATACATTTTAAAAACATGTTCTCACCAAACAAAAAGATTTGTTCCGTTTTGATTTAGTTAAGTGCATTTCAAGTCGTAAAAGTTTACGTGGGCATGCTAGAACTATTTAATATCGTAGCGCCCAATTCGAATCGTAGTTTGTGGTAATAAGTTGCCTGAGAAGCTGTCAAAGTGATTGTATTTATTAAATTTTCCCACATCGGTTTGTCAAATTGTTAAGCCTTTCTAATTTTTAATTGAATTCAATTTAGTAATTTGTGGAAATTTCGAGTGAGAACAGTTACAGACACAGGTGGTGATAATCAAATCGCGCGCAAATGAATATGCCACCCTGGACATATATCGCATGCTGTATCGGCCTATCGGTGCGATAAATCGATAAGCCACACATAAGTTCACTTTGGATTTGGAATTGCAGCCTTGGTGTCGTCGCTTTGCACCAGCAAACCAGCCGACCAACAAAAATTTTTTATTCCAAAAATATACGTACGCGCGTGAATCATACGCGACGTCTCGACTCACGACACGCACAGCAAAAAGAAAAAATCGAGTGTACATAGTATAACATATAAATATACAAAATATTCAGTTATTGAATTTTTGTATTACACGTATACGCATACGCAACGAGAATTTATTGCAGTAATTGCCGCCCCGCATCGCCCCGCGCCGCGTTTCCCCCTCCGCCCCCCGTCTGTGCTGTCTGTTACTAAAATTTGTATTAATAGTTGTGTTCCATCTGTGTTCAGTTCAAAATGTTTAGTTTTCTGAAGCGCGAGACTAAAAACCAAGAGGTTGTCGAGAACGTCATTGGCGAGCTGAAAAAGATTTATCGCAGCAAATTGTTGCCGCTGGAGGAGCATTATCAGTTCCATGACTTTCACTCGCCCAAGCTGGAGGATCCGGATTTCGATGCCAAGCCCATGATATTGCTGGTCGGCCAGTATTCGACGGGCAAGACGACCTTCATACGCTACCTGTTGGAGCGAGATTTTCCGGGCATTCGGATCGGGCCGGAGCCGACAACAGATCGCTTCATTGCCGTCATGTACGATGATAAGGAGGGCGTAATACCCGGCAATGCGCTGGTCGTCGATCCCAAGAAACAGTTCCGACCGCTCTCCAAATATGGCAACGCATTTCTGAATCGATTCCAATGCTCGACGGTGGCATCGCCCGTGCTGAATGCCATCTCGATTGTGGACACGCCCGGCATCCTGTCGGGCGAGAAGCAGCGCATCGATCGCGGCTACGATTTTACCGGCGTGCTCGAATGGTTTGCGGAACGTGTCGATCGCATCATTTTGCTGTTCGATGCACACAAGCTGGACATATCCGACGAGTTCCGGCGCTCGATTGAGGCGCTCAAGGGGCACGACGATAAGATCCGGATCATACTGAACAAGGCGGACATGATTGATCATCAGCAGCTGATGCGGGTCTATGGCGCGCTGATGTGGTCGCTGGGCAAGGTGCTGCAGACGCCGGAGGTGGCGCGCGTCTATATTGGCAGTTTCTGGGATCAGCCGCTGCGCTTCGATGCGAATCGCCGGCTCTTCGAGGACGAGGAGCAGGATCTGTTCCGTGATCTGCAATCCCTACCGCGCAATGCGGCTCTGCGCAAGCTGAACGATCTGATCAAGCGGGCGCGCCTGGCCAAGGTGCATGCGTTTATCATAGCCGAGCTGCGCAAGGATATGCCCTCGGTGTTTGGCAAGGACAGCAAAAAGAAGGATCTGATCAAGAACCTCGGCCAGGTGTACGATCGCATTCAGCGCGAGCACTCCATATCGCCGGGCGATTTCCCCGACATCAAGAAAATGCAGGAGGTGCTGCAGCACCAGGACTTTACCAAGTTCCATTCGCTGAAGCCGCATCTGCTCGACATTGTGGACAACATGCTGGCCAAGGACATAGCGCGTCTCATGGAAATGATACCACAGGAGGAAATGACGCTCGTCCAAGACCCAATCGTCAAGGGTAAGTTACCCCAGCCCATCCAATATGCAATACTAATCTTAATCCAATTCTTGTGGTTGCAATCGCAGCTTATCAAAACCTGCCCCGCACCTGGTCACCCTGTCGCTTGTCCACAATTAATCGTGCACAACTAATCGATACCCACCTATCGATACAACAACAATCGTTTTCAGCACTAACAGCCCTGCACTTTGCTCCGTGAATCCGTTTCTAATTTTAGCATTTCGCGAGCTGAAGCACGATAAGCGGCCTGATTCATTTTTGCCCCCATGCTCGCTTCTCAGGCCACATTTATCGTTAATCGATAAAAATTATTGCTACTGCTACGCTTATCGACAAGCTGCAGATAAGCGTTCTTGTATTTTCTTTTAACCGCCTTTAATTGTATTTTTGCCTGGATCTCTTTCAGTTCAGCTTTTCAGTCTTTCCATTAATAATGAGCGCGCGCACGCGCAATTTTGCTACAAAAAAAAACAAAAATCAAAAACAAACCAAGTTGACCCAGTTAGCAAATAGTCATGCCAAATTGTGGAAAACTAGTTTGTTGCTGGCACACACACACACACACACACACACATCGAGATAGATCACTGAATGTATCTAATGGATGCAGCAATTACAATTTAACTGCTTAGCGGCGCATGCAGGCACAAATGAAAGCTCTGCAGGAGCTGTACTTGGGCATTGCCACTCAAATAAGTAGATATACATACATACATACAAGGCTGATTGACTGACTGACTGAGTTTCTGATTGACGATGCAGGTGCAAATGAAAGCTACAGGAGTTGTACTTGTACTTTCCACTCATAAGTGTCTATACATACAAAGCTGTGTGTGTAAACTGATGATTGATTGACTGACTTATTGACTGATTGAGTTACTGATTGACTGAGTAACTGATTGACGATGCAGGGACTAATTAAAGTACAGGAGCTGTACTTGGGCATTTCCACTCATATAAGTAGCTATACATACAAAGCTGTCTGTGTAAGCTGATTGATTGATTGACTGACTGATTGACTGACTGTCTGAGTTACTGATTGACGATGCAGGTACTAATTAAAGTACAGCAGCTGTACTTGAGCATTTCCACTCATATAAGTAGTTATACATTCAAAGCTGTGTGTGATTGATTGATTGACTGACTGAGTTACTGATTGACGCACAGCTTTTACCGTAAAGTGGGGAGACCGAAATTTCTTACAGCGTTTTGGAAATAGCCTGGTATAAGTTTAGAAAAGGAAAATTCATTAAGAGAGTACTTGAAGAATAATAGTATCCATTATGCATAATAATATCCATTATATAATTATTATTATTATCCATAATAACATCTTATATACTCAGCTCTGAGTTCGTTTGAGCAAAAGAACTTCTCCCTGTCTCAGCCGTTTTGTGCCTGAACAAATCGTTTGTCTCTTAGAATAATAATATCCATTATCCATAATAATATCTAACAACCTCAGCTCCGAGTTCGCTTGAGTAAAAGTTCATTTGAAATTTAATGAATAATACTTCTAGCGGGTATGCGACTTTACGCCTCCAGCTTCCTCTTTTCGCACTTATGTAATGTGTTGTCCATATATATACATATATATATATTATATATACGTGTGTAGAACAGATATTCTCCCTCTCTCTATATAGTATTTGCTACGTAAATAGTGCGATAAGAAGGCCTCGCTGATAACAGGTTGCCCGTAAAAACCAACAACGTGCCCGACGCTAGACGCACTTTTTTTTTTGTTTTGGCAAAGATTATGCGTGCAATCCGGCGGAGTTCGAGTAAATAGTCGAGAGACGTGCCGGCATTAGGGTAACTTATACTTACTATTTCTCTCATATCTAGCTCAAATATTGTATAAATGCCTGTGATAAGCGACAAGTTTTTTTTGCTTGCCAACGGGGCGGGGACAAGTACTCCGCCCGTGGGCGTGGCACGTCAAAAATTTGTTTGCGAGGCTAATTACTTACATATTATCGAACTTGGTCCGAGTTGATAACAAATATCGAACCGCATTGTTCGGCATGATGTAAGCCATGACTCACAGTTAATGCGAAACTGGGAGGGGAAACTCCCCCTCCGAAAGCGGTACAGTTAGGCATGACACATACATATACATATATATATATATATATATATATATACTATGTATGTGTATTTTCCAGTCCAGCGACCAGCAGAAAGCTGGGCACAGACTGGCCATAGACGCATCCAGATTCGGGCAACCGACCATGACGACGAGCACGCATTGACCAAACAGTCCAAAACAATTTAATTCGACTGAAAACTCTCAGCTGTAATTGTGCTCGACTATGAGATACCCAGCACTGAAAAAAAAATGTTTAAGCTACATTTACAACAAATGCATTTGGCGAAAAGAATCAAGAATTTTGTACGCAATTCGAGAGAAAACTTGGCTGTAATTGTGCTCGACTATGAGATACCCAGCACTGACAAAATAAAATTTGTTAATATATCAAAGTACCTTGAAAATGCTTAAGCTTCATCTGCAGTAAATGCATCAAGAATTTTTTACTCAATTCGAGAGAAAACATAGCTGTAACTATGCTCGACTACGAGATACCCAGCACTGACAAAAAAATAATTGTTATAATAAAGTATCCTTGAAAATGTTTAAGCTACATCTACAAGAATTTTGTACGCAATTCGAGTGAAAACTCAGCTGTAATTATGCTCGACTACAAGATACCCAGCACTGATATGTTAATATATTAAAGTACCTTAAAAATGTTTAAGCTACATCTGCAGTAAGTGCATCAAAAATGTTGTACTCAATTCGGGGGAAAAAACACAGTTGTAATTATGTTCGACTACAAGATACCCAGCACCGAAAACAAACTAAATGTTAATATATCAGTGTCTAAAAAATGCTTAAGCTACAACGAGAATATCAATAATAATAATCAATAATATTAAGAATTTGGTACTTAAATGAATGCAACACAGTTTTCTTAGTTTCAGACCGAAACTCTTATATTAAGAATTTTTCTCGAGGCTTGAATACACTGCTTAAGCGTAGACATGTGCAACTTTTATTCGGAAGGCTTTTGGCTTATGTCAAGCAACAAAGTTCTTGTTTCAATTACTTTTTACTGATTTCAAGACTTATTTTCTTGAACAAGGAAGATTTTTACTTAATTTAAGTCTTCGAAAACTGATTTATTAAATTCCAGATTTATTTTAATGGATTTGTAAAATTTAGTTTTGAAGCAAGAACAATTTATGCTTAATTTAAGTCTTCGAAAATAGAGTGTATTTGGAGTTTGATGAAATTTTGTTTGTGATCAAATTTAGAAGCAATTTTTTCGCTCAGTGTACTCGAGGGCTTTTTGGCTTATGTCAAGCAACAAAAATTTTGTTACAAATTACTTTTTACTGATTTAAAGACCTATTTTCATGATTTGTAAAATTCACTTTTGGAACAAGAAAGATTTTTACTTAATTTAGAAGCAATTTTTTCGCCGAGTGTACTCGAGATCTTTTGACTTACATATGTTAAGCATGAAAATTCTTGTTTCAATTACTTTTTACTGATTTCAAGACTTATTTTCATGATTTGTAAAATTCAGTTTTCAAACAAGAACGATTTATTTGAAGTTTTAAGAAGAAAATGTGTTGAATTCTATTTGCGATAAAATAAAGAATTAATTTTTTTCGCTCAGTGTACCCGAGTGCCCTCTTAAAGCAGCTTCCGCTTGGCTTGCGCGGCATTAATAATTGCATTGGCGCCATTAATACTCTACAGTTGTGTTATGTACATGAAAGCGATATTGTATAATTGTCGCTTAAATTACAATCTCTGGTGTTCTCTGTGTGTGTGACCCATTGTTAGTTATTTGTTGAGGTTGAGTTCAAGGTTCCACTTACAAGTCCGACGCTTACTTTAGCACCTGTTCATTTTCCAGCCAATAAATTGTTTATAACTCGAGCTCTTATTAAATGTGGGCCAAGTCAACTAACTCTGCTTTGTTTGTTTGTTGTGGCTATCTCGGGTTTGTCGCGTTGCCAGGCTCCTCTATGAAAATAGATATGAAACTAAGCCCGTTTCTAGATAAAAATCAATGCTAAGTGCGAACCTCAAGAACTCTTAACTGAAAACGTAGACAGAAAAAATAAACAGCAGTCATCTTCAAGATGCCGAAGATTAAATACCCTAAAAGCTTGATATGCTATTGAGCTATGCTCAAGAAATGTTACATTTACAAACGTCACATTCTCCGATTCCATTAGCAAATGTCAGTTCTCGGTAACATGTGAGTGTCAAAAGTGCCGCTTCTTTAAATAAACAATTGATCAGTTTGATTTGATATACCTTCAAAAAGTCAAGTAACACGGCCTCGAAGTAGAATCTCCATTTAATGGACTCTGCGGCTTTGGCCATCTTTATATGTTAAAAACTGCGGGATTCGTAACATTTAAAATTATCATTTAAAGTTATCGCTTGCCTTCGATATATCGATACGAAATTCGATTAATCATCGCAAAAACACGAACTTTTCGGGGCGAATACCAAAATTCTTTGCAAATGTGATTTCTCATTGGGGCAACGTACAGGCCACATTTTGAACATTAGACAAAAATGTGACATTCGCAAAAAAAATGTAAGAAATGTTGACAGTGGAATTCGGCTGTTACTCGGGGAGAATACCAACATTTTTAGCAAATGTGAGAAATGTGGTTTCCTTTTGGGAAACGTACAGGTCACATTTTAAACAATATACAAAAATGTTATATTCGCAAAGAATGTAAGAAATGTTGACAGTGGAATTCGGCTATTACTCGGGAAGAATACCAACATTCTTTGCAAATGTGAAAAATGTGGTTTCTTAAGGGAAAAAGTACAGTACATATATCACATTTAAAAAAAAGTTTTACATTCCCAAAGAATGTAAGAAATGTGGACAGTGGAATTAGACTATTAGGGAGCTAAATTTAACAATTTCTAAATATTTTATATATACTCAATTTTCTCT